TTCTTTCGACCTCTTAGGATTTCTTAGGGCCGAACAAGTTGCCCCCCAAGGCCAAGCAAGCCTTGGTTCAAAATTATATTGTTTTTCAGCCTCTTTTGGTGTTCTTATGGTTATTGAATTCAACATATGAACACCATTAACCCTTTTCAAAGGCTTTTTCAACGCTCGACATATGTAACGCTTGATTTTTATCATTTCTGCAGCGTCAACTTTAATGCCACTTTCAGCCTTTGTCAAATGATTCTCATAAGTAGGATCTTTGACATAATTATTATTCGATACATCTATCACATGAATTTCATAGTTTGGGTCCCTATAATAGGTACCCCTAGAGGCATTCCTTTTATCTTGTTCTTCTTTCGGAACCTTTTCATATCTTGTAGCACTAGAGGCTAGTTGGAACAAATCCCGAAATTGCATTCCCTCGAATTTCCTTCGTAATTCAAAGTCTAAACCATTCAAGGCTAGACTCACATATTCTGTTTCTAAAAGGGCTACTTGGCATTTATTTCTCGCACTTTTTAACCTACCAATAAAGGCTTCAGCCGTCTCTCCAGGCATTTGGGACAGCCTAGATAAGTCAGCCATCGATACCTTTGGTTCGGTCTTATAAAATTGGGTATGAAACATTTCTTCCAAATGTTGCCAAGTATAGACTGAATTTGTGATACCCCCGGATCTCCGGATGCAGGCTGGCCAGACCCACGCCCGATTACCCGAGGATATCTAATCAATTAGTAATAAACGAACACGGAATGCCATTAAGACAAAAGAGATAAATAAAGTTTGCTGAAATGAAAACTAAAATGATAATCCAATAATTGAACCTTCAGAAAAATTTCCATTGATAAATAAAACTATTCTGACACAACTGATCCTCCACAAATACAAATCATTCTCCAAATTATACAACTCAGGAATCCACCTAGTGGACCCCTAAAATATCAGACTGAACTCAAATGACTGGGCATAAAACCCAAGTCTAAAATATGAAATAAACTCATATGCCATTGGTGGAGTGAATAACTGTATCTGCTCAGCATGATCAAGCTCTACGCCTGAAACTGACGAATATCTGTAAAAATAAGAGTGGGTAAGGCCCACATGCAAATTCTATTCTAATTGCAATCCATACAGTGACCCGATACACAGATACACCCTAGATATCTCAACAATAGCTATCTAATCCATAAATATATAAATATCCACACTAAGGGACATTCACTGGACTACAATAAGGGTCTCAACCTGAATAGAAGGCAACATGCGAAAACGCACCCAAAGGTGGGCATGAGTACCTAGACCTAACAGGGTACACTTCAACCTACTATAGCCAGCTACGCATTTTACTGCATATATGCGCCCTAACCTACGACTCTGAGACTCAAGCTCATATTGTGGTACCGTAGTCATATATTTAAAATCCGTCCAAACCAGAGTATGTCATTCAGTTCTTTGTTGATCTGACATAAGACGTATAATCAGTTAACTACTCAACTTATTCAGTTGATATGAGTTAGCTTTAAACAACAGTAAATCCATATGGTTACTCAACTTCCTCAGTTGATCTGACCTAAACCACAAACATCAATTAATCCAGATAGTCTCACAACTTACTCAGTTGATCTGACTTAAACAAAATTAGGATTCAATATTTTACAATCATTTCCTTTAATTCAATAGGTTAGGTTTATACGTTTTGAGCTAAACCATCCCTAGTATGACGGTCTCATACCGGTGCATACAATCCTCCATATCCATATAATTGACAGAATATATTAATTCAGCAATTAAAATTCCACATATATATAATCGTTTAGCGATTTACAATCCAAAACCAATATCCAAATAATTGCAGAAAAGTGTTTAAAGTTTTAGCAATTTAAACCTAAGCATTAAACCATATAGTTGTAGGGAATAATATATCAATGACTCTATCACGCATTTAAAATAAATTCTATAGTCATATTATAGTTCAATAAATTGCTTAATTAATTTAAACAATTTAATTTTTTCCATCCGGTAACAGCGTACTAAGTTGCATACTTGTACTCTGTTTTATTCTTTTTAACACAGAGCCATACACTATGCCACAAGTCCAATTCGTTAATTAAAAGATTTCACCGTGCATCTAAAACTTAATTTAGAATCATGTTTTAACACCTTAAATTGTCAAATTAAAACTAGACAATAAATCTCCCTCCAGCCGTTAACCGCACGCAAAGTTGTTAAATAGCGCACTGTTAATTCCATTCCCTTAGAGGTCAACCTTACTCAATTTAAGGATTTAATAACACCTAAAACCAGCCTTCCAATCCTTCTATGAAACCCCAGAATCAACAGAATCATTCCCATGCTCCAAAGTATCAAACAGTTCTTTTAAAAAAAAAAATCAGAAGTGTACTATTGAAGAGAGCTTGCTCTAAATTTTAAAGAGCAGGCTCTTTTGAGCCTGGAACCGGCTCTAGAAGTCTTAGAGCCGGCTCTACATTTGTGGGAGCAGGCTCCCACTTCAATGGAGCCGACTCTCACCCTTTTTGAGAGCTTCCATCCTCCGTTTGCTCCGTCTTCGACCTTCTGCTTCTTCTCCGGCCTATTTCTACTCTTCAGTTGGTTTCTAAAACTGATCCTAAGGGTCTTATTAATACTAAGAAGCCTATCAATGGTTTGATAACACAACTGGAAAAAATTACAGAGGTTTAATTTGCTACCGAATTAAACATGCTTTAGGAACAAAACTGAAACTATTTTGCAACAACAGTTCCATTCCAACCCCTCTGTTCCTCTTCACTACTGAACTTAGGAGTCTTATCTAATCCCAGTATCATCCCAATCATTCGTTTACAGTTGTTGAAAGAAAATACAGTAACTAAAATTCCAACATAATTTACATGCTTTAAGAAAACAAAACTAAAACAGACATGCACGAATTGTAACAGATTTGATTTCAAAACAAACAGATCATCAATATAGCATATATTAAACATGTAAATTCTAGTTACTGATTAATTAAACACTAGAGACTACATAGGTGCACAGAACACAAGCCAAAGGGAAGGAGAAAGAAAAAAACTTGCCTCTGTGGTTTTTGAATAAAAACCATGTCGCCGTCTTCCTAGGTTTTCCGACGACGTCCATTCTCTGTCAACTCTACCTCCTACTACTCAACCTTCCTCCACCTAGGTCTGACCTTCAAGCCATGGCCAAAACCCTCTCTGACGTTGCTCTATTTTTTCCTCACAACCTCTCTCTGTTTTCACTCTAAACTCTCTGTATTTTCACTATTCGTGAATAGGGTTTGTACTTACAACCCTAAACAGACTTATAACAGTATATATATAGGCATATAAAAACCTACGTCTACTTATATTAAGAGATGGAAACCCAATTAAACCCTAGTCGGCCAAATACACGATCCCTAACCCTAAAATCATAATTAAACAACCTAATTAACTCATTTAAAATAATCAAAACTAATGTAATTAAATAAAAACAAAAAATCCAATTAACCAATTAATTAAAACCTCAATTACATTACATAGAATAATTAATCAAACAAAACAATTCAAATACCCAAATAACAATTAAATCAAATTAAAGAATAAATAATTAAATCAAATAAAGAATAAAACAATTAATTAAGATAAACAAACAATTTGACACATAAGCACATAGCCACAAAAATCAATTCAAGAATGCATATTAAACACTAAAAAAAATAAACAAAATTCCAATTATATCATTTTTTAATTTAGGGGTATTACAGAATTTGCCGGTAAACTTATATACCAAAAAAATGCAGTCCCTTTAAGGGAATTAGCAAATAGCCTTAATTTTAAAAATTCATTTACTCCAGACTCATTACATTGAATGGTAAACCGACTAATATGTTTTATTGTCATTAGATAATTTTTTTCAGGCCCAATGACCTAAGAGTTAGGATTAAACACCTGCTTATGGATGCATGTGGTGGTACCTACACTTTAGCCCAACATGTGATTCAGCCCAAGTTACAAACTTGGGCCTCAGGAGTGTAAACTCTTCCAGGATGAGATCACTCCTCCAACGAAAAAAAAAAAAAATCACTCCCCCATTTTATTTATGGATGTAAATCCCTTCCCTACCCTACTTGCCTTGAAAAATAAGTATAAATAGCATTACTCAAAATAATATTAGTAAACTTCTAAACTTCATAGTTAATTTGATTGTAAAATTTTAATTTTAATGTTTAGAGAATTTTTAATTTTTGTCAAGTACTAATCTAAATCTGAACTTGTAATCACGAACCAGTAACACATCCTTGAAGTGTTTTATGAACATTTTTCATTTGCATTTCTTTGATGGAAGTTTTATGATTCTTTTGTTATTCCAGTCCAATATATGCTACTTCTATTTCAGTCATTTGGATTTCATCTAATGACTGAAATTGAAAACAACCATATTATTTGTTTCTGGTTTTTTAAGACTCCAAAACCACTTTAGTGTCTCAATTTGACTGTTTTAAATAAAACAAAACGCTTAATAATAACAATTTTTTTTTTCTTCGTGTTTTCTTTATTTACATATAGAGGAACATTTATAAATAAATAAAATGACATTCATTGATCAGTTTAGGTGGCCTATTCAAATTACATAAAGAGCTAGGAAAAAAAAAATGTAAGTATATTGTCAAAAATTTTGTATGAAGAGATATATATATATTTTTAGTGGAAGTATTTATTTATCTTTTTTATTATTAAAACATTCAAATTGAGTAATTTTAGAGTCTTAAAAAACTAGAAACAAATAATATACTTGTTTTTAATTTCAACTCTCTCTTTCTCTATATATATATAATATAAAAATAAATAAATAAATAAATAAAAGAATGTAGGCAAAGCAAGTCCAAATTATTGACCATTCCTCTAACATTTATTGGTGACTTGTAAAACCAAACGAGTTAGATAACAATAATCCAAATCAGCACTCTTCTCCCTCTCATATGTATCACATATATGGAGTAGAAATTATATATATATATATATATATATGAAAAATAAATACTGTGCTTTCAGACACCTGCATCAGTGTTCCGTTCAAAAGCTCCAGGACTGGGGGAGAGAGACAAACGGATCTACACAGATCAAAAACCTTAATTTAATTCGGCAATGTTCATGGCGTATAGTACTTCATCATCAATCATCTCTGTCTTCATTGTCGTCGTCGCCTTCACCTTCACCTTCGTCCCAATTTCATCCTCTGTTCCCTTCATCGTACTTCACGGTAATCTATATAATTTATATATGTATGTGTATTTATACTGAATTAGTTGTTTATTTCGATTTTTTCTATTCATCTTTCTGTCTTAAGAATGGAAATTCGTGGTATATTATTGAAGAAAGATTCTCTCTCTCTTTTTCCTTTTCCTTCCTGAATGGAGAAAGATTCTCAGTTATAGTATTTTTTTTTTTTTTTAATGAGGAAAAAATTGGAACCTTGATAACTTTCTCTATATAGATGTCTTGGTGACTCTAGAATTGTGCATTAATTTCAATTGAAATCAAATTGGGTGGTACAAGATTGATTAATGACATCGATTTGTTACGACTGTACGAGTAAAAAATGAAATTGGTTCTTAGTCTAAAATATAAAATTCTTTACTTGATAGGTAGAGGTACCTATGAACATAGATAATAGCTGCAAAAAAGCAAACTAGTGAGTCTAATGTTAGCCCAGATGGTACTACCTCTCCTCCCCAAATGAGATGGTGAGTGTTGGAGCCCTGTTAGGGCTTGTGACCTAGTGGTATAACCTGGTAATATGCATTATCTTGGTACAGAATAAAGTCTAAAGGATCATAAACTGACTAAAAATCAATTACAAGTAGGTTCGTCTGACTAATTATAATAGCAGATATGGCAAAAGAATTAAGAACCTTTTGCAAAAATGTGAAAGTTGTGTGTGTGATAGAGAGAGCATCTAACACGCCTGATTGACTTGATTGCCAAACTATAAATGAAGAAAGGCATGAGAGAAAAACGTATGGCTAGTGATTGCGAGGCCCCAATTCTTGACTGGAGGGGATACCAAAGGCCTCAGTCCTTCTATTTCTATCCCTTGGATAGATAGAGAGGGAGAGCAGACCTTTTGGTTTTTTCATGTTCTCAAAGAGTTGAATGATGGCCTTTTTGTGTGGGGTGAAAGGATGCAATGGAATCAACCGAAGAACAGATGTGAAAAGGTTCTGTACAGAATTTCCTCTTCTGGGCTGGGCATATGTAATGAAATTAATACTTTAGCAGTGTGGATGAGCCAAGTAACCTAGTATGACTTTTTAAAGGATGGGCAAAACTAAGGGAAGGGAAAACTCTAATTACATTCACAAAAACATTTCATAACAAAACATTTCATAACTTTTGTTATGAAATAAGGATCGAATAGGAGTTTATGAGAACAAAGAGAAAATTAATGACAAGAAAAATAAATAGGCCACAAACGAGACAAGCATATAAGTGGTTCGGCTATGCCTACTTCCACGGGGAGAAGACATAACAATATTTCACTATGGAAATAAAGAGATATAAGGCAAAGTGGCTCACACCCTAAACCCAATTTACACCCAAACTCTCTCACTCACTAACTGATATTACAAACTCACAATACAACTGATGATTTCGGATGCCATACACCATATGAGCATAGGCTATTTATACCCAAACAAATAGGTCATTAAACAATACTTGAGGCTGCTTCAACTTGGTGACCAAGCATACTTGGTGATCAAGGATTCTTGCTGATTACACATACTTGGAGGGCAAGATGATGATGTAATGGGTGACCTCAAATTTGAGCCACATATTCAACAACTTCTAAATAGTTATGTTCATACAAGGAAGTTTTATGACACATATGCATGCTTTCCTTAACTACGGAAACCTTTTTGGTAGAGCAATTTCTATGTGAAAAATGTCTCTGTCCAAACTTCTTGTTGACTAGTAAGACTTCATATAAAATAAAATTTTGTGCATATTTCTACCGCGTAATTACATTGGAATTTTTATTGCAAATATTTTACTAAACAAACTATAACTAGAATCATAGAAATGCCATACTTGCATTATGGTTCGATCTAAAAAAGACGTTTGCAGTTTCTGGAAGGACATTTGCATGTTGTGGTAATTGAAAGAGTTCATTGTTTCATAAGCATATAAATGAGTTCACTTTTTCTATAATTTTTTCTCTTGCTTTCCTTTCTTTATTTTTTCCATATTTGATTGTCCTTAAATTAAATCCATTTTGTCTGCTTTGTATTGGCCATAAGTTACCACTTGACCAAAAGAATTAGGCTACATGATTCCATTTTTCCCATTAACTTTCAACTGGATTTTAGTTTCTGTCTACACTTGATTGAGATAATCCATTTGGGATTTGAATAAGTTTTGTTATTTCTGTACTATTGTTTGACCATGTGTATCTTCCATATTTTCCTATCAACTTGTGCAGTCTTATGGAAAAAATTCCAATTATTGTCTTCAAAAGTCTCAACTATCTATTCTTTGCCAATGGCACTGATGCTAGAATTATTTTTAGTATTTGATCAGGTTGTTTCTCATTTAACTTTATGTATGCTCTATGTCAATGGCAACTGCAATATTTCCTTTGGTCGTGCTTTTGTCTTTTCAACAGTAGTGCCCATCTTTCTCCTTTTTGTTGTCTCTAAACTTGTCTAGGTATAGACTATAATTTAATTCTTTGACTACTAATTAATTAATACTTAGTTACATTTTCAGAAATTAAATTTCCTTTTATCTGAGGTTTTTTTTTTTATTTTTTTCTCAGGAATTGGAGATCAATGCTCGAATCGAGGAGTTACACAGTTCACTCAGCAGCTGAGCAACTGGTCCAGATCTGACGGATATTGCATGTATGATTGTAAAGTTTCAAATGTTTTTATTTTGTTTGTGATGGCCCTATATATAATCCTGCTTATGACTCTCAATGTTCTAGTTTATGAAGTTTGAACCTCTTTCAATGCCAATGGACCTTGACTTTTACACGTGTTTGTATTTTATTCAAGATGATAGTCGTATTCAAACAATAGTGGTGTGAACCAAAATTGGATAAAATTATATACCACGAACTGATCCTGATCTGTCGTACAGTTCTCCTGTGGAGAGTCTTTTCATATCTTCAGTTAACATTTTGTTTATTTAGTTATTTGGTGGATTTTATATATTGCGTCACTTATGTTTAGAATAATTTTTGTTTCTTTGATAGGTAAATATACTCACAGACACATGTCCCACCTGAACCCTCAACCTCCCCTTTGGTGAGGTGGAGAACATACCACTCAAGCCAAGGCTTTGATGATTGTGTTTAGAATAAATTGCAACACCATTGATTATCTTGGTTTGACTGATTTGGAATTGCACTCACCGCCCAGTATTATATATCCATGGATTTAGTTGAGGGAAACAAATTTAAGCACAGGGGCAGTTTGCAAAAAGATAATAGTTGAGGGGAGCTTTTAGCAATTAACCTGTTTCTTATTGATAAGTACTTTTTTATAGATGGTGACATCTACTAGTACTATATGTTCTTCAGGAGTGTCCAAAATAAAAAACATAAAATATTCTTCAAGATATTTCTCTTCTTTGTCATTTTTCCAGAACAAGTTTGCTATTCAGCAGTCCGCTAAACTCTTATGAATTGGATTGGCGTTGGTATAAGGTGGAGAATCCACTCTTAGGGAAAATTAAATAATGTTATGCACAACATTCACTAGTTCAGATGCAAGTTATGGTTAAATCAACATTAGAATTACTAGAATGTAAGAAAAGGGAGATGTCATCTAGCCTCTTTTTCTTTTTATGGCATAGTTTTTATTATGCTTTTGAAAGTTATAAAAATGCAGGGATTGTGCAGTGGTTTCCAGCATTGCACTTAATTCCTTTACAACTATCCAGTACACAAGCCTGTATTAGTTCATGTAAATATTAAAGAAAAATCTTATTTTTGTGAAAAAAGCGCTTAATTAGTAGAAAACAATGTCAATTTCTTGTCTTTTCTTTCCTGTAGAGAAATTGGAGATGGAGCATGGGATTCCTGGTTTATGCACTTAGAGAAACAGGTAGGGAATGGCCTTATAGTTACAATTCAGCTTGTTATTTTGGAATCATCGTGTTCCTAATCTAATTGTATTTAAAACCGTGCTTTGTTTTGCAGGCTGAAGTTGTTTGTGATAAGGTGGTGAAGCTCTCTGCGAGTCTGCGTATTACCTTTCAAAAAACAAAACTCTCTGCGTATCTTTGTTTGTTTTGTTAACCTGGTTTTTGAAGTTTAATCCACCAACTGACAATTTCATCATAAAACCTACAGGTGAAGGAAATGAAAGAACTGAGAAAGGGTTACAACATAGTTGGTCTCTCCCAGGTGATCAATGAGGATTGTGTATTTTCAATTTTGTATGTTGCACATGAAGAATAATTCGATGGCCTCGTATGCTATACAATTTTCTAATAAAATTTGCATTTCTGATAGTTAGAAATACAAAAAAAGAAGATAGATTAGCATATATCAACTACTATTACTATGGCTAATAATATATAATATAAAAGTTGAAGCTATTGCTACATAGTTTGGTGGCTTGAAATATTATAATGCAGGACAGCAGGAAAAAATAAAAAAATAAATAAAAATAAAAAGTGCCTATAACATAACTGAACACAAACATACATATATTATAATATATAGGCTTCTGTTTTTCTCTTAATTTTATTTGGACTATGACCTTAAAATAGGAAATCATTAAACTTTGGCTATTAAGGGCTTCATAGTAAGAAACAATATCTTAATGTTAAAGAGAATCCTTCTAGTAAATTGATTTCTTTCAATAGATAAACCAATCATTTGTCCTTGGGGATAAACATGGTAAAGACATTTATAAAGAACCGGTAACATAATTTGACCTTAAATATGACCTGTGGATCATGACTGCAGTCCGTGTCCAGTAAATTTTTAATTACCAAAACACCCTTCACTCTTAAAACATAAGAACAGACAAATATAAAACTGTACTAGGAGAAAATCAAATTAGAATAAATATAAAATAATTTCAATGCCTCGAGCATGCTTCTCATGAATTTTCCAATTTGCTACTTTTATTTTTCACATGCTCTACATCATATTTCAATAAACACGTAGCAAAGTTTACTCTTCTAAAAAGCTATTTCTGTGCTATTGTACTTTTGTAATCCATTGCTTGTAATTATCATTTTTCCAAAATAGTCAACCTTCTATGTTTCCTTTATTTGCCACCTCTTGTTGTTTGGCTATATGCAGAATTTTGCATGAATTATCAAGAGGCAATGAATATGGCATGTGTGGGTATTAATAGAAGATGCATTTACTCACTAATACAATAAAAATTTGTGTAAAGAATAATATTTATGGGGAATTCTTGTCAAAGTGAAGAAACATTTGGGGACGTCATTCAGGATATCACTTACCAGTTACCTTGACACTCTTCCATGAACTTTTTGTCCGCCTCCATTTTTTTAACTTTATTTTGAGGAATCTAGTCAGAAAGTTCCATTTTTTACTTCAGGTTAATTTAACTTGTATAAAATGCTTTCCTTTGTACATTCATTATGAAAAATGAACAAAAGTAAAATAAAATGAGAATGGAAAGTAAAGGAAAAACAGGTGCAAGCTGACATATGTCTATTCTTATTGGAAGGCCTTGATAGATGAAATCATTGAAGCTTGATGCTTTTTTCCTTCAAGAAAGAGAAGAAGACAAGAAGAAGCTTGTTTACTGCCATCTTCTAACCTACCTGGAAAAAAAAAAAATGAAATAGAGAAATATTGTTGTTCTATATTGAAATAGAGAACTATTCACTCATTTTATGTCCAACAACAACAATAAATTTACAAGGGTTGAGTTAAAATTATTAGTTGTTCGAGGAAATTCTATGACAACTTGAAGAATAATTGTTGAGAGTAGCTCACTAGCTCCTAGGATAAGCCTTGTGTAATAGTTCTTTTCATCTGATTCAGTGCTTGAATGCATATATAACTATATATAGTAAACTATAGTCAAGTTCTCTACTTGCTATATAAATATAATGAGTATGATTACTGACCGAAAAAAAAAAAATAAAGATGATGATCATGAATTTGCCTGAGTGGAAAATGAACTGGGTTAAGAAGTTTTTGGTTGGAGGTGATCATGTACCTTCGACTTGTTAAATAGGCACTGATATTTCCTGAGGACTTTAAAATCACTGTTGAGTTTCACTAGATATGATTAGTTGTTTATCTCAACCACTTGCTACATATCGCAACTCCCAAACTCCATCTTCTTTGTCAATTTTTCTTAACCCTTTGTGCTTGCTCTTTCACAAAGCACTGTCTCAGACGTTTCCACTCTTGCGCCCACAAGCAAAGAGATTTCAAGTAATATATGTCCCTGCTACTTTAGAAACTTAATATGATTGAACTTCTTTAAGAGCATATTGCTCATTCCCAAAACTGTAGTAGTCCGCACTGAACATCCTAGTACCCTTCTTTCTTAACACGCTTGTAATGATATAATATCATGATTTGTCGTGATGTAAAAATTTGAGAATATGAAGTTCGCCCAATATTTGGTGCTTTAAGCTTTGTATTGTCTTTCTGGAATTTTTTGTGAAGGCTGAAGAGTGCCTTGTGGGCAATACCAGTTGTTTGATTATTGCACTGGCAGGAACAAGACTGCACATATCAGCATCAATGTCTATCTTGAGATTCTTAACCAATTGCATAGCTTAATGGACATTTTGAATATATCTTATAGTTTTTCTCATCTCCCTAGTTAATTCTCCAACTGCTTTAACTTTAATTGTGGTTCATCAAATGAAACCCCTGATGAGAGCAAGTTCAATCTTTCCAATATACCAGGACTCTATTATAGTTTAGGATCTGTAATACCCCTAATTTTAAAAGGATAGTCTCGGTATTTATTTATTTATTTTTATTATATTTTTTTTAATTGTTTAATTGATTATTTGACTAATTGTTTATGTGTTTAATTGAATTAAGTGTTACTTGATTAATTGGCTACTTATCTATGTGTTATTTGTATTTTGTCTAGGTATTATTTGTATTATTTGTTTAATTAGATTGTGTGCTTAAATGATGTATTTGATTAATGTTAATTAATTGTAAATTAAATGTTTTCATTTCTTTTATTATTTTATTTTATTTTTCTTTTATGGTTATGGTTAGTGGTAATTGGACAACCAATTGGATCGCATGGACTGCTTGGATAGGAGGTTGGATGGGTATGGATAATTATCCATGGATAGTTGTATATGTATATATATAGATATATATGTATATACATATATATAAAAAGGAAAGTAATTTATTAATATTATAGTAACTTTAGTATTAATAAATAATCTGATGTATATATTTTATATATTTATATAATAAGGATATACATATATTTTATACGTAACATGTTTTAAGTTACCTTTTTAATATTATGGTAACTTTAGTATAAATAAATAATCTGATGTATATATTTTATTTATTTAATGAGAATACAGATAGATTATATACTTAACATGTTTTAAGTTACCTTTTAATATTATGGTAACTTTAGTATTACTAAATAATCTAATGTATATATTTTATTTAATTAATAAGGATATACATAGATTATATACGTAACATATTTTAAGTTACCTTTTTAATATTTTCATTTTTATTTTATTTTATTAAGTTGACTTGGATTGGGAAAAGGAATAGGGTTATTATTTAGCCTATAAATACACAACTATAGGTTGAAAAAGGAGTGAAAATATATCACGCAATATATTCTAGAGAGAGAGTTAGAGAGAGAAGGAGAAAGAGGGAGGAAGGAGGAGAAAACCCTTTAGAGAGAAGATCAAGGAAGAAGAAGTTTAACTTTCAATCCGAAAGTTTAAGGCAAGTTCTTCTTCTATCTCTTTCCCTTTGATTCGTGTTTCTGTACATGCCTAGGAAATTCCAGGATTTACTAAACACATAAAATTAAATAATTATGCATGTTTAATTGGATTAAAGTATAGATTTTTGTGAAATTGGGTCATATCTGTTCTTGTGTTATAAATTAAAAAATGCATGATTTTGATTTGATTTCTGGTGTGAATTTTTATATGTTTGAATTATGTATTTTTCATATATATGGAATGATGGAACGTAGAAACATGCCTAGGATTCCTGAACATTAAATAGGGATTAGGTTTGGGTTTAAATAAATTTAAATACACTCAATCATAACGATGCTTGCTATTTAAATGTTTACACAAACGAATGGATTTAATCTTTTAAAATGCTTTAGCAATTGAGAATAAATGTGTAGGATGAATTGGATATGGAGAATGCTTATTTGACGATATAATAAAATATCATCATGTATAAGATTCAGTTTGTGTAGGACATATGATATATGAGCTTAAATAAATAATAAGTCATTCATATTCTGTGATAATTTGATATCATATTATCATAGTTATTTCTGGAATGTTTGATGTATTTCTTTAATTATTACATCAATTGTTGGATTGTGTGGTTTAATGCACCGGTATGGGACGGTGGCATTCTAGGGACGGATTAACTTATCAGTTAAGTCCTACCTATTTTATATAAGGGAATGGATTAACTAAAATGTTAAGTCCTACTTATATTCAAGTCAGGTCAGCTGAACAAGTTGAATGACTTATAGAGGATTAATTTATTATATAAGGGAATGGATTAACTAAAATATTAAGTCCTACTTATATTCAAATCAGGTCAGCTGAACAAGTTGAATGACTTATGGAGGATTAATTTATACTGGATAGGATGGTCACTAGATTTTATATATATAAGTATGGTGCCATGATATGAGCTTGAGTCTCAGGATCAGTGGTTAGGGTGCGTATATCGCCAGGGATGTGTAGCTAGATATAGTGTAGTTGTGTACCCTGGTAGGTCTAGGTACTCATGCCCACTATATGTGCGTTTTGCATGTTGCCTACTATTCAGGTTAAGACAACCCTATAGTCTAGTGAGGTTCCTTTAGTGTGTATATATATACGGACTACTAGTTACTGTTGGATTGACTAGGATGTATACGTGTATCGGATCTCTGCTTGGACTGTAGAACTTGTTTGTGGGCCTGACCCACCATTGTTTTTCAGGTGTTCGTCACGAGTAGAGGTTGTTCGTGCTGAGCGGGGATCAATCTACTTCATTCTTCCGATGTTACATAGGAGTTCCTTTATGATTCAGTTTCCTGTTTTAGAATACTGTCATTTGTTTAGTTTGGATTTTCTAGGGGTCCACACAGTATGGATTCCCGAGTTGTATTTTGGAGGATCAGTTTTATCAGAAGACTTTATTAATTAATGGAAATATATTATGAGGTTTATTATTAGATTATCATTTTAGTTTCTTGTCAGCATTTTATTTATTCTTCTTTATTCTTTTGTACTCTGTGTTCGTTTATTATCAATTTGTTTTGATATCCTCGGGTATTCGGGCGTGGGCCTGGCCAACCCACATTCGGAAATTCGGGGGTATCACAGGATCATTGTATTGGTTGTTTGCCCGGCAGGACATATTCATGTTTTTAGGTGTTTCTAAGTATGTACAAAACGTATTACATATTTAAGCATGTAAAATTTGCAATTGTATTGGGTTGGTAGATCTTTGGATGTCTTGAGAGTTCTGCGAACATAAGTGCCTTCTATTCTGTTGCTGTTCTGGTGGTAGTTAGAATGATTTGCTGTAGTTTATCATTTCCATGTGGAAGCATAAATGCCTCTCTGGTCTTATCCAGCTAGAAAAAACAGGTCCTATAATCTGTATTTATTGTTTTTCTTCTTTTGTTTTCTTATTGCTTCTTGTGAATTGGTTTTCATTATATATCTAAGTTTCCATGCTAGGTAGCTTTATAGAACCAGCTCTCACATTCTATACTTTCCTTTGGTGTGCAGGGTAATTTAATAGGCCGAGGTGTTGTAGAGTATTGTGAGGGAGGACCCCCTGTAAGAATCAGCTTTTCTAATTCATCAATGAACTTCTACGACTTTCATCTATAGTGCATTTTGAGTTTTTCATTATATGAGTTGTTGTTTGATTGTAAATATTGCTTTCTCTTCTTGTTAGTTATATACCAACATGTATTCAGTATTACATGAAAAGTGGTATAAGTGGTATGATGAATATGACAAAGTGCATGGCATCAGCATGGTTGCTTTAATTGTACATATTGGTCCATTATATTAATGAAAAAAAAAAAAAATTTACAGAAGCTTTTGTATTTGTAAATTGATTGCCAACCAAAATGAGCTAAAATAGACCATTGAATTTTAAGCATCAATAGCGGCACCTGGTTGGTTGGTGAGCAACAAGCCTCATGAAGTTCATACAGTGTCAAGGATTAGTGTAACAAAAAGACTTGGATGAAAAACCAGTCCATTGTTGAATTTTGTTTGCTTTGACAGTCTTCAGTTGAACTAATACCATAACACCCAAAAAGAAAAGTGCCAGAAACATACATCGGTGTAAAGCATCTATTAGTTTACGAGAAAAAATATGTAGACCCCTTCAATGTTCATAAATGAAGAATTACTTGGAGGTGAGAAATGTAGGCAAAAGAAATATGGCTGCATCTTGACAGAGATGGTAATTGTTAAATTTAACAACCCAAAAAATAGTAGCATCGTAATAGAGATGGAGAATGTTGAGTTTGACTCCACAAAGAGCAGAAAATCCAGGGATTGCTTAATTTCAAACATTCACATGAGAGAGAGAGAGAGAGAGGAGCACATGAATGTGCCGTTTGCCTTGATCTCTTACTCTTAAGTAAATAGTGGCTGTCAATTCTCTCACTGCATCTGTTCATAACTTGAGATACTTGGCCGCTCCTGAACTCCTTTACCTTAAAGTGCATTAACTAATTCCTCTGTGGTGCTCTTTGACCCATAAAAAAACTTAGAATCCCTCAAATCTTGTGAACCTAGGATACTATATCTTTGCATCTGATCTTCATGCAAGACATTGATAATGCACAAGTATGGCAAAGCCAATGGTGAGCAGCTTCTTATTTTCTTGCTGTGGTTCTCATCTTTCAACATTCACTATGATTTCCATTTTTAGTTGTAGCAAGAAGCACTTTGCATTTAGAAGTCAATATTACTCTGTACTACTTGAAAATGCAATTGCTTCATTTGTTCTTTTAATTTTGTTGCATATTGTATTTTCTGCATTTGTAAATTTTAGATGACGTAAGATCTATATACCTTCTATGGAACAGGTCAAAAGTTTTATCTCGTTAGGTGGTCCTCACGCTGGTACTGCTTCTGTTCCTCTTTGTGGTGTAAGTTCTCATATAGCCTTTCATTGTTGTCACCTCGGGCAATATGCACTTAAAAATCTACTTGAATTAAATGGTTTTCCTTTTTCTTCTTTTTCTCTCTCTCTTTTTTTTATTTTTATTTTTATTTGAGAGGTTTAATTTAACTTTGAATAAATTAGGGCTACTTGTCAGACCGCACAGTACGGCTAGAGGATGCAGCCTTTGCCCTTTGGTAGCCTTTCTTTTGGCTAAGAAAAAGTATATGGAGATACAGAGAGCGTAGATATACATTTGCTGCTGTAAATGCAGCAATTTTAGTTCTAAGAATGAGATTGCAGTTGTTTCATGTTTTAATATACATTTGTAGGCCACTTACCACTTTAATTACAATAAAAGTCAAATTTGGATCACAATACTGCTAGCCTTACAGTCTAGGTATAATATATATTAAAGAACAACAAAGGAATCCAATATCAAGTTTTTAGTCTTAATAAAGTAGATAATGTGAAAAGGAAAATGACCGACTCTGAACACTCGCCTTGGAAACCGCCTAGGTTTTAGTCTAGGTCTGTCAACTGGGTTCATTTAAGGGTTTTGACAATCTTGTTTAATTCTTGTTTACTTTTTCTGCTTTTGCAGTCTGGCATCATGTGCATTATAGCAGACAAACTAATGAAGTTAGAGATCTACTCCGACTACATCCAAGTATCTCTCTAAGAACTTCATTTAGTTCTGTTGCATTACTACTTTATTATTGTGATATTTTTCAAACTTTTGTCCTAGAATGAAGATCAATTATTTCCTTCCGATGACTAATTTTCTGCCAGTTTTGTTCTCATTCTATTTTCTCTGATGAGGTTTGACATACTGAACTTTGATTTGTAAATTGCAGGCTCACTTGGCCCCCAGTGGTTATCTTAAACTACCTAATGTGAGTAATATACTTTGGAATAGCTAGGAGATATTAGAGTAAAACTATATCACCAGATATCCTCGCGTTATAGCCTAAAGGAAGCCTTACTACATAATAACTTCCTAATTGATTTGTATTTCAAATAATTCATCCAGGATTATTGTTAGCAAGGATAGGATCAAACTATGTTTTTTGATTAGTTATAAAGTAAAAATAGGGCAATGGATAAATAAAATTTAGATTTGTAGATTCTCTTCTGATGGTAAATCTTATTCAAGTGGGTCATATACATTCCGAGTTTTATAGCCTTTATTAAATCACATTGTTTGCTTCAATTGATGAAGGTCTTAATATCAGATTCTACTTTATTTTTTCTAGAATATCGATGCCTACTTAGAAAAATGTAGCTTTCTCCCAAAACTTAACAATGAACTCCCTCAAGAGAGAAATTCCACTTACAAAGAACGGTTCAGCAGTTTACAAAACCTGGTGCTTATCATGGTGAGTTGGAACATCTGTCTCTTCATGTTGATTTGTTTATTTCCTTCATGAATAATTCACAAGTTATGTAGATTTGGTTGTTGAGCATGCTTATATCTATTCCCTGGTTTGTCTTTTTATGTCAACAGTTTGAACATGACACTGTTTTGATACCCAAGGAAACAGCCTGGTTTGGATATTATCCAGATGGCGCCTTCAAGCCAGTTTTGCTTCCAGAACAGGTATTTCTTTATTTTGTTAAAGAAATAATTATTACTACTAATCTCATATCTCAATTATTGCTTGACATAGGTAGAACTAACTCAATGATGGTTTGTTTTTGTTGAACTTGGTATAATTTCCCATTCTGGATAATAGTGTGGTTCTTTGATTAGGATCAAAGAAGTTGGTCATAAAAAATTACTTTTCATTCCCCGTTGTACTTTACTTTCTCTTGTTCTGCTGGACACATTATTCCAGTGACCAAACTGATCCGCAGTGTGTGCCACTTCACATTGCAAAAAGGTCATCTGTAATGCTGTCACTCACCGAAAAAAAAAAAAAAAAAAATTCACCACGTCCGGGTTCGCACATGATCAGTACAACAATTGTTGATTATTTTAACTTCTTACTGCTGCAACAAGCAACATGGTCACTATGATGTGGCCTATTGTTATTAAAAACATCCGATGATTCAAGATTCTTGGAAATAAGTATGGGTGAAAAATTGTTGGAAAAAGGTATAATAATACAAAATAAAATAAAAATAAATAAAATAAGAGAGAGAGAGAGAGAGAGAGAGGAGCTGAACCCTATTCAACATAGCTGATGTGATTGCCAATCTAGAAACATTAAAGGTAGTTATCATCGTCGCTTAGGCTGGGTTGAAACAGTATATGCAACTCATACAGGACACTACAGACCTCTGACTGATATTAGCAGAATATGGTTGGGGCTCCTGCAAGTTTCCTAATTATATTTATACATGTATACTAGAGGGGGACATACACTTGGTCTGTGTTCCTTCCCTAATACCATTTCTTCGTCTACATGTACATTAGTCTCACACTTTTACTATTATTATAATCATTATTATTATTATTAAGTTATCTCCTTCATATTTTCTTTTTTCAAGTATCTTTTATCTGATTTATTCTGGTATATTGAGAAGTTACTGCATTATAGGAAAGGCAGGCTAAACACATCATATAGATGAAGACGGTGGTTTGCTTCATATAATAAATAAAAGAATGGATGTGTATGTAAGCCAGATCTTAGTAAAAGAAAAAATTGTTAGCTCAAACTATAAGACCTAATTTTAGTTCCCTTTAACCGAATTCACTCGTGATTCCAGGTGATTGGTGAACTTTTGTCAAACTGAAGTGGCAGATATACCATCTGATATTATTATAGGATCATTGATTAAATGTATGAGTGAGACAATTAATTCATGTAAAATTTATCCAAACCCACCCCACCCCCACGCACCCCCCCAAACCCTCTCTCCACAGGCATGGCTGCACTGCCCAACAAACCTCGTCCCTCCAGTTACTCCATCCTTACCTGAAAAAATTAAATATAAATAAAAAATTGTCCAACCTACAACCATCCTTTCATTGTACAATGTGTGCATTATATGAATTTTGGGATAATTTCACTGACACCCCAATAGTTTGGCCAAATATCAGTCTAAAACATCTTTCGAAAATAATTATCAATCACATTACAAACGTTTGCTCCGTTTTTCACTCACACCCCAAAAGTTAGTTTACAGTTGTGTCAGACCACTTTTTACATGTAAAAAGACATTCTTACCCTTTGACTTTAGTTTGACCCTTGACTTTGGTCTACCCTCATTTTTTTAATTTATTTTTTTCCAAAATATCATTATTAAAAGACAATATGGTCCCTTGAAAATTTGTAAATTTACAAATTATATTATATATACAGGTAGACATATATATACTCCTATATATACACACACTGAGACATATATATACTCCATACACACACAGAGACATATGTATATATATATATATATATATATATATATATATATATATACATATATACTCCTATATACACACACACACAAGCACAACACCACCACCGACACTGGCGAGGATGTCGGCACAAGAGATAGCGGTGGCGACAGCCGAATCGTGGTGGCTGAGCACCAAACCACCCTTTCCGACCTCACCAATTGTCTTTCCAAAACCCTTCTCAGCAGCCAATCCGGCCGCCGCAGCCCAAAAGTCTTCTCGCCTCCGTCTCTTTCGGTTCCCGTCAAAACCTGAATCGGCCTCTGCAATTGCCAATTGGGTCTATATATATATATCGTTGCCTCCCTCACCCTCTACCTCCCAGACCAGTCTCTCTCCACCACCACAACCACCACCACCATCATCGTTCCTCTCTCTCCACCACCACAACACCATTCCTCTCTCTCCCTACCACCACCACAACCACCGATTCTATAACCCAACCACCAAAATTAAAACAGGAAGATGCCATCACAGCCGCCGACTTTGTTTTGTGAAATTAGGTTCAATTAAAAATTAGGTTCAATCAAACACATTGAATCTTTGTTAACAGTAACCCTGAAGCTTCAACTTCCAGAATTAGTTTCAATCAAACACATTGAAGCTTCATCTTCCAGAATTTGCAGAAGCTTCGTTAACAGGAACCCTTGATTTTCTCTGAATGGCAGCTGTTTCGTTTCTCAGATAAAGCATCACTCAAAGCCCTAATTCGAAGTCCAAATCAGTCCAATTCGTTCAATTTCGCTTAGACATTTTTTTTCATTCAATTCATTCAATTCCAAGCGCCATCCAATTCTAATACCAAATTGGTGTGGACAATTCTGGAAATTTTAAAGCGTTAGATTCGTTGATTGTGTATGGGCATGGGAAGGGTTTACAGAGAAACCTCCAAGCCCTCGTCGTCTTCATCGCCTCCGGCACCAAAGGTGACTGATGTCCTCATTTAGATGTCTTCTTCATCGGAGAGATGATAAAGTTACGGATTTTATTTGTGGCATAATTGTCAAGGGTATAATTGTCTTTTAACTAATCTAATATTTTGAAATAAATGTTATTTAAAAAATAGGGCAAATTTGTCTTTTCCCATGCTTGTAACGGAGACTGTGACGGAAAAACAAAAATGGATCTAACTGATAGTTATTTTCAAAGGATGTTTTAGACTGATATTTGGCCAAACTACTGGTGGTGTCAGTGAAATTATTGCATGAATTTTTTATGCCTCTAAGTTAAAGTAGATCTTAAATCTTCAGCTTGTTTCCTGTCTGCAGACTAAGCTTTTCACTGAGGATTGGATTGGTTTGAAAACCTTGCACGATGCAGGCAGGGTGAAGTACATCAGTGTGGGAGGAAATCATCTTGGGATCTCCCGAGACGATATGAAAAAGTATGTTGTTCCTTACTTGGAGGATCAAGCATCAGCAGATGGCAGCATTGACACCAGGACTTATGGAGTTCATCCTCGAAGCTCAGAAAGCCACAACCTCCAGAAACAAACATCAACTGAAGGATCAGCATCTTATAGTTGGCCCTACTCAGTAAAGAGCTTCATTGAAGAAATACTTGGGTTTGTGGAGGACGAATCATCTTAAGACACTTGATTTGACTTTGCTTTATATTTATCAGTTGTGCCCCTGGTAATTGATGTCAATTTATAATTCTAGTAATTAAAAACATTTGGATAGACCAGTTTAGTGCGATGGTGGATAATAAATACTTTGTGTGCCTAAAAACTAAAAAGGGTTTGAAAAAGCCTCTGTATTATTGATTGTACAATTAATGTATATATGGTGTATTATATACTATTTGTTTCTGTGTCATGTATAGTATCATTGATGATCTGTCTTGGCTAATCACCTTCACTAGTTTTATAAATTGAACCAAATGTTGCTAATTTATTATGAGCAGTGATAGGGGAACCAAAGGGTATCCCCGAATTAAGCACCGAACCTGACGTGGCCTGGCCACGTTAGATTTTCACCTTTTTTGCGTGAGGGAGCAAAAGAGTCTATCACGTGCAAATAAAAGAATAAAAAAAAAAAAAAGGAAGGTGGGAAGGAATCCACTTATCTTTATCTGCAGTATCTTTCAGAATTTTTTTTTTATAATTGATGTATTTTAGAATTTACACTGACTAGATATATTAAATTAAATCACTATACCGATTGAATTCCTGCTAGAGAAGAACACTTATACAAAATCCTAGATAGAGAGAGAGAGCCAATCCCGAATCAAATAGTGATGTTGTGAATAATCCCAAATTTTTGTGCGTGATTCGAATACAAGATGATCATGTAATTCTTAAAATCAGATCATTAAGTAATACCTAAATCTATTGAGAAATTTGTAGAAATTTTTTTTTGAATATTTATGATCTATTATTACTAACATATATGTAATTGTGTGTGTGTATAAATATATATTTCTATTTATATATACCCACCTTCTTCCGGTCATCTTCACAGTGTTTATCACTACATTACCTTCTCAAACAATTTTTTTTTTTTTTTTAATTTATTTTTAGGGGTGAGCTAAGCACGTGATGGCTCAAGAAGTTTTAGAGAAGTTTTAGAAAATCTAACGTGTCAAGCCATGTTAGATTCGATCGTTTTTTCGAAGACTGCCCTTCAGCCCCTTATCATTTTCCATTTATTATATGTCCTTCTGAATACCATGTTTAGTGATGAAAATTTTGTTCCTCCCAAAAGTGAGTGATTTGGCTAAGTTGATGAGATTGTTTAAAGCTAGACGGTTAAATTGACATCGAAGATGATGAAGTTCCCGTTAAAGAGATTGAACCAATCATTGTCAAGAGCTTTAAAATGTTTTGAGGGCTAAGTACGTCCTTCTGAGCTTAAAGCTAATGGGATTCATTCTTCCCAAAAGTGAAAAGATCCTCAATATATTCAATGTTCTTCAGTCTAAAATAGCGTAAAATATGAACATATCAGGCATGTGATCATCTCTCAGCCAGTATTTTTACGGTGTGTGTGTGTGTGTGTGTGTGTGAGAGAGAGAGAGAGAGAGAGAGAGAGCACCATGTAATGGCCTTTCCGTTTATAACTTTAATTTTGATTCAAGACCAGAACATCTCAACTTATGAAGGAAATTTCACACACCCTTCATTCAACACTCCTCAGATAGACCAACAAGTTTCAGTACTGTTATTTAGAAGATTTTATCCATTTTAAATAACAGAAAGAAAAAAGAAAGTCAACTCATTGAACATCTTATGTACAAACTCACACGTAACTTCTCAATATACATGGATATTTACACTAATACCTCCCAGCTGATCAGCACTAATTGAGCAGCTGCCCTCCTCATGCAGATTCTCACTTGAAATCTTCTGAATAGAATGGCAGCGAAACCACAGGCAAGAGAGTCTTGCGAAAGCAGTTTGACCAGCCACACGAACCCTGTAAACCAAACTCAAATCCGCCAATATCTCACTTCTTGCTGGAACTGACTCATAGCTTGCATCATATCCATCAAGATCCTCTTTGGTGATCACAACTAAAGAGCTATCATCAAATGCCACGAGATTCCGTGCAGTTAAAATCTTTGGGGTTTTCAATGACAGACAGGTCATATGGCTCAATCTACAGGTCCCCTTCACCTTAATATAGTAGTAGTCCAGAACAGCCTGCAATCAAAAACCAAGGGGTAACTCAGGAATGAAAGGCAGAAATTCTGCCCATTAATGCACTCGATTGACAACCCAAATCCCCAACAAACAGGAAATCAACCTCAAGCCCAATACCTGCCACTGGGAAGAGGCTAAAAGCACCCTTGGCCGAATTGACTTCACATATTCATATGCAGCATCAGGCATCATCTGCTTGTATTGCACCTATAATGCAAATGAAAACATGAATGAATAGTCTTGAGTACACGGATAGTTTAAGCCTTCCCTAAAGATGACACTCACCAGATAACATATAACAATGGTTGTGCTGCGTCCCCGGCCAGCTTTACAGTGTACATAGGTAGTTCGCCCTCTTGATGCATTCCCTTAAAAAGGGGGTACATAAAAAATGATTAAATCGTGATGGCTTAATTCTAGAAACAACAAACACATATAGCTTGCTGAATGCGAAGTGGATATTAAATGCTAATGAAAAAAAAAAGAGACAGAAGAAGAAGAGAGTGGGGACTATAAGCTTGAATAAGGCCAATGACCTTCAGCTCACTTAGTGTCAAATTATGTTGGAGTTTGGGTAAGCCTGAGTTTCAAGGTTTTTCAACAAGATTAACACGGTGGTAAAGAAGAAGATGAAAAGGAAGGAAGGAAGAAACTAGACCAAATTGAAATAATGAAAAGAAAGTAAAATTTTAAATAAAACATTGTTACAAAAGGAAAATATAAAGCAATAAACTCATAATAAAGAACAACTAAAAATCAATTTTTACTACAAGCCTAATACTCTTCAACTTTAATAATGTTACACGCTTGGAGAACTTGAACTGAGCCAAAAATCTTTAGGCATGAGTGCAATAGCATAAACATGTAATCTGCAGATAACTCATAAAGTAACGAAAGATTCTCCTCAAAGAGAAATGTTGTCCTCGATGTACGGTAAAAATAACCACTGAAGAACTGCTCAAAACAGAGCAGAAATTTGTGGACAAGGGAAAAGGTCCTATGGTAACTACCCACATGATATGATTTCTACTTAGCATACTGTAAAAGCAATTACAGAGCATAATAAAATAATTTGGTGATGAATTAGAAGGCGACTTGGACAGGTCAACCCGAAAACCTGATTTTTCACAGGCTTCTACAACTATATTTAGAATTATGGTTGAGCTTCGGCTGAAATGCTTACCTCGAGCTTAATTTGGGTTGGGCTCAGCTAGAGGCCTGTGATCTTACCCCAAATTCTAACAAATTTTTTATATGTTTTATAATTTTAAAAGAAATTATATAATTACAAACGAGATTAAACTTTTCTTTTTCTTTAAATCACAATTTGTTGAATATTAATCTTTGTAGAATTTAGTTCTTAATAATTTTTCGATGATTACATTCAGCTTTACACACTTTTTTTTTTGTCTTTTTTAAGTGGGTAATCAACCCAAGGCTAACCCAAAAGTTAGGAAAGCAATGGTCAGCGTCAAACCCGGCACCTCAAGTGTCAGTAAAGTCAAGTGTAAAGCTTTGATTTTCAGCAAGCATTTTAGGAAAGTAACAATTCCATTCAGTTTAGTCCAATTTATATCATTTTAACTCAACTCGAGTTCAAAATTTAGAACATGGGTTGGGTTAGGACCGGGAAGCTTGGGTTAAAGGTTCTATGCATTAGGCCAAGAATAGGTTGAACCCTCCCAAGTGCCCAACAGGACCCCTGATAAGAATTGAAAACCTACCTAGCAAAAGATATAAAATATTTTTAACCATCTCACTCAACGGTCATATTATACTACCAAATAGATAGCAATCCATTGCCTCCATAATGTGAAACAATATTATATTTTCAAGTGCTAAACTTTTATTTGTAAAAATGTGTATGAAGTTGCCTACAAAGAAAATGGTTCATGTGATAAACAATTCATGTGAGTGAATTAGAATCAACACATATAGGCATTAGCCAAAGTAGATTCATGGGTTTGTCAATACATGTGTGCCTTGATACGGACAATGGGCCAGTGTAGTCTACTAACCACGCCATTTCCTCCACGTGGTGGTGTAGTGACCATAAATCAGACCTTGTAATCCCATAAGATGACTAAATTACAACTGTTTTGAGATGACATAAAAAGTGGCTCCAGAAAATTTCAGATGCTAAATAAAAATAATAGACATAAAAACTTATCAAGAAAATAATAATAACTGTAATAATATATTTAATTTCTATAAGAAACCCACATAAGAAATTGCTATTTTGATAAGATTGCTTACTATGAATGAAGTCTACAGCCTCGCATATATTACTTAGTGATGGTGCATAGAGATAATCTCTTGTAGGGAGTACCAGATGATCAATACCATGAACCTACAAAAATTAATAGATAATCATAAATTTAAAGAGCTCAATGAAATAGCTTCACAGCAAGTGAAATAAGGCTCTGCTAAAACAACATGCAGAACATCAAAATTATATAAAGCTTGAGATGAATGGTCTCTTGGACTTCAACATCCGCATCAATCAAATAAATGTCCAATTTGAATAAATCAGGAACATTCAACAAAATATTTCGCTCTCCATCGAAGCTGAATTTCTTAGAACTGATATTATTTTGACTTCGGCAAGCCAAACCCTTGATATGTACATGTAAATGTTTATGTATTAGGATTTTATATTAAGAAGTGGACAGAAGAAGAAAAGATGGAGTGCGGTCATTCTTAAAGTGGATGGGTTGGTTATTTTGTTTAATGAATAGATTGTGAAAATAACGTCATCATTTTAATAAGGAATTTGCGACATTTTGATAATTTTGAGTCATAACTTGCAGTAATATAACGCCAGGGGTTGATTTACAACTTTTTGAAAGTTTAGGGGTGGGTTTTTTTTTGCATTGTCAAAAAAGAGTATTTGCAAATAATAATAATAATAAATAAATAAAAACCTGATAATTCAGAGGGGGTTTTCTAAGATAATATAGTGTGCCAAATTGCAACAACAATAAATACATTAAGAATACAAGAATTCACCTGATATAAAGATGTAGGAACCAATGTCTCATATGGCTCGTTGAGGGTGATCACTCCACAAACACCAAGCTCCTTTAGCCGTTTAACATCAGTAGGGAATGGTACAGCACCTAACAGAACAAACTGAAAACGGACATATTAGGTAAGGAACAAAAAAAAAGTACTTTATTTAGCTTTACATAAAATTTCTCAGAACAATAAATAACAACCAGAAATGAACAAAAGATAACCTTATATTTCTGGTGAAATTCAAATGTTTAATCTCAAAGCTTTTGCCAAATCTTTACCCCATTTCTTTTAAGAAATGAAATTAAAGGGAAAAAAACACACAAACACATGTAACAGAGAATAGTGTGTTGAAAGGAAAAAATTGAAAAATGGAGATTTTCATAAGCAGAAAACTTTGTCAATTCTCATTAGTTTGAATATACAACATTAAATCAAGTATGCAATTTTTCATCATCTTTGCCTTAATCCCTTATGATGGGGTAGGAAAATAAAATATGACGTGGCAAGTTACATACAGAATAAAGCATAAGCATATGGTGTAGAGAGGTAGAGAGAACCAGTCAAGTATGCAAAAGGAAAACATATTCACATGATGCAATATCAAACTCATCGAATCTTAAGAAAGGTCAACAAAGAGAGGCAATTTCCTCATCATCCATTGTGTGACTTCGTAACAGCAGACCAGATCCTCATAACTTCCCCAAAACATTCAATATGTTGTAACCACCAGTCCAATTGTAATTAAACACCCCTCACTTCTTTGCTCTCTCTCCACATAGTTTTGTGCAATTACCAAAATAGCCTTTTTCTTTACATCTCTTCCATGTGGAGTCAATAGTCCCACATTCCTCTTGTTCTAGAAAACTTGTGAACATAGACACAAATGCCATGTTCCATTATAGAGAAGGGGTCGCCAGACATGAAATCTCCTATATAAAGACACACCTCTAAAGTTGTCTTTCCCAAATCTAGTGTATACAGATCATATATTTATTTATGTTTGAGCATGTGTTTTCATGCAGAGGCACAATAAAGAGTAAAACAAATATCAAAATACACAAATTTCTCGCAAATAACGCGTATTTCTTTATGATGTCTTAATAAGTCTAAGACACAATTATTCATGAATTTTTAAATCAATGGGCGTCCAATATTTCTGATTTTCTGTTGTGGAAGTGTCCTAAAAGAGTAGCAAATTTTTAAAAAATAATTAATTAAACTCAAGGCACTAAACATTTCTTAGATGTTTGTCCCCCACATTTCCGTGCTATAGGGTGGTTTATCCATCATTGCATCTCCCTTTACTTGTAATTTGCAATAAGATGTTAATACCTGACCAAAGAGGAGATCCCTGAATAATAGAAGCCATAAAACAAGCCAACTACAAAGTAAAAGATCAGTCCAATATGAAGACAAGTGCATGCATTCAAAGGAATTTGAAACTAAGCATAAGATAAAGCCAATGACAAAACAAGAGTATACCTCATCAACCCGATCCCACCACCGGAACTCCGCCTGAATCTTATTCCTCACCACATTATACAGAAGCGTCGGATAAAAAAGCGCACGAGCTCCTGCTCCAATTAGTACCCTCTTAGCATCCGAAACCACAATGCCACCACCCACCACCTCAGCAGCACACAATTCCTTCTCTTCCCCACTCCCCAACTCCTCTCCTTCGTCCAAATCCTCAATATACATAACAGCCTCGAAATCAAATCCAATTAAAAAAAACAAATACACAAATCCACAATCACAACAAACCCTAATATTTCTCACAAATCCCTAATCACAACAGTCACACCTATATAACACCGAATGTAAGCCCTGCTTTAGCTTCACAGAATCTACATCAACATACAACAACTTTTACCTATTTACCCAATACTTCCCTGAATTAAACGAAAAAAACTTAATTGATTTTCAATAGATTAAGAAAACCTAGAAATTTAACATGTCGAAATTTGAAATATCAGAAGATGATCGAACCGGAAAACCATATTACGCCGGATATGCATCGATCGGAGGTGATGGCATGCCGGAGACAGTGAAGATTGATTTGTGGCCGCCGAATTGGGGAGGAATCGAAATGGAATCAGAGAATATGAGAAAGAAACCTATATCTCAATTTTGGAACCCTAGGTTGTACTCTACTTTTGCCTGTATATATCTACAATCAAAGTGTTTTGAAAACTGAAATGGAATAGTGAGAATTACGGAATGAACATGTAAGATAAGGGAACATGTAAGGCATCATCTGGCGAGGGAAGCATTGTGAATGGCCTGTCGACTTGAGCCACGTGATTGAGAATAAAGTACTGTGTGATGTAAGGGACTCTAAAAATATATTTTTTTAGAGCAAACTATTTGTCATTAAACTTAAGTATATTTGGACAAATAATATTTTTGTTAATACAAGATTCACAATTTGGGACAAAAAAAATATTTGTCTCAAAAAATTAATTTTTTGCAACAAAAATTTTTGTCCCTAAAAATGTATTTTTTTGCAACAAATTATTTTGTCACTAAATGTTAAGTCTTTTGGGACAAATAATATTTTTATTGACAAAAGATTCACAATTTGAAACCAAAAAAAAGATTTGTGACAAAAAATTAACTTTTTGAGACAAAAGTTGTTGTCTCTAAAAACATATTTTTTTGCAACAAATTATTTGTCACTAAATGTTAAGTTTTTTATAACAAAAATATTATTGACAAAAAATTCACAATTTGAGACAAAAAAAGAAATATGTTGCAAAAAATTAACTTTTTGCGACCTTGTGTCTCAAAAAAAAAAAAATTATATTCGTCACTAAATGTATAATTTTTTGTTACAAATAATATTTTTGTTGATAAAAGATTCATAATTTAAGACAAAATAAATATTTGTCGCAAAAAAAATTAAAAATTGGCGACAGAATCCAGAATTTTCTAAAATATTGCTTTTGGCAACGAACTAATTTACATGTTTGTTGCAAAAAAAAAATACATATCAGGCAACAAAATTTAAATTTGTCACAAATTGCAGCCTTTTGCAACAAATTTATTTTTCTTGCTAAAAATTTCATCCCTAATACCACTATTTCTTGTAGTGTTCCAAGTAAAATTGTCTGAGCAATATTAATTTTTATGGTAAAAATCTTTAGCTTGAATCCACTTACTTCAAATGATACTTTCAAGTTTCAACCTTCTTTTTACAATTGGGATTCATTTCCCTTTTGGGATTTTTATTTATTTTTTCTTCGATTTCATATTCAGGAAAAAAAATAAATAAATAAAGTTCTCAACGACTTATAAACTTAAAATAGTTTTAAGAAAACTATAAAAAACAATTATATGAAAATATATATATACCCATCCTTGACAAACCAAGCATGTCTCACCATTTTCGAAAAAACTCAGCCGCTGATTAATCTTCACTGTGAATTCAGTCTTACAACTTCAAGGACATGCAGCGGAGCATCAAGACTTCTAACAGCAACATGGCATCGCCCAAGCTCATGCATCAGACCAGGAAAAAAAAGGCTTCGGATCACCTATTGACTTGCTAGTTACCTTAATTTCCATAAATCAATATACTGACTTACCTTACCATAAAAAAATACCCTAATTAGGTATATAGTAAATTGCTTGTATGAAATATACCTTTCCATATGCCGTAACCCTATTCCATCAAATAAATAAGGTAGAATACAATATTAAAAAGACAAAGTATTATTACAAGAAATATACTATTTGATAATAACACTTAAAAAGATCAGAGATTTCTATAAAAGCAATGCCAATTAGAAAGACATGAAATATAAAATTTAAAAACATGACTACCAACACGAAATATCATTCTTTGTATTAAAATTCATAATATCCAATAAAAACTAGCAAAATTCCATCTCTTACAACAGGGCTATCCTCCCCTACAATGCCACTCACCACTAAAAATATAGTAAAAAAATAGTAAACCAAATGTCTCTAAACCGTGACTTCTGTGCATATACCATCTTGGTCAGTATCTGAAATTTTGAAAAAGAGGGGTAACTTTGGAAAAGCCTAGTTGAAGTGATAGATCTTTCTACTTTAATTATCGATTACTTCTTAGAATATAACGTGATTAGGAATGGGTCGGAAAGAAAGAAATGTTTACTGGAATTTTTTAAAAAATTCTAATAGGATCCAACCAAAAATTGATAATTAACGTCGAAAGACTTATCATTTTTCTAATAAAAAATAAAAATATATATATTATCTTGGCCTTCACCTTTTCTTTTTCTTTTTCTTGTCCTTTTTCTTCTTCACCTTGTCTTTTGCCGGCTGCTTCTTCCCGCCATCTCTTCCACGAGGCCAAACAAGGCTTTGATAATAAAAATCTGCGAAAGTTACAGACTCTACCCCATAAATCTCAATAAAGTCGACTGTTTTCTTTTCTAGGTCATACCAAAGAAGCCTTTTATTATCCTGTTGCATTAGTACTTTCTCATGGCTCTGTGAATAAGCCAAAGGCCTCACCCACTTAAACTTGTCAATAGTGGTGGGTTGCGCAACAGAAAATAATTTAGTCCAAGACTCCATAACTCCATACTCCTTCATCACCCATATGTCAACATGAACACTGAAATAGTTGCAAAGTAGACAAAGACACCCTTCTAGAACCACCATAGACATATGCGAATTTACAAGGGAGTAATTATCAGGCTGTGGCACCAACCGATATTCCTTATCAGCAAGATCAAAAGCAGCAATCAACCTCGACTTATCCGATTCCGGTTTTGGACTCACAACCCAGTGCAAAGCCCCACTTGCAAACACACCACTCGCTCTTCCACGGTACCATAGATAATAAGGAAAATCTTGAATTCTTCGCCATAAATTCGACTTATCTTTGCCATAAAACTCCACCATCCTCACTACCTTGTAATCATCGTGGACACAATCATACCCAAACCCAAACACCATAGCCTTGTGAGCTCAATCGGTGGGACCAGTAACTTCTGGTGCTTTCGGGTCGATGGGTTCCAAAGGCAATGAGTTCCGAGTTGGAGGCCAAACATAGCAACCCATTGCAAGACCCTTGAATCAATCCAATTTCACATTCCCCACTCTTTAATATGGGGTTGTCAAGCTCTACACAATCTCTATGGAGTTTAACCCATATAAATTAGGATTTGTTTCTGTTGGTATTTTTTCTGGACACCAAATCAGGCTGAGGTTGGTGTTGGTCACCATGTATCGATTTAGATGCGATTTGATGAAATATGGGCTGTCGATTAGGGCACGCCAGGATTTCGATACGCACCTCAATTGTACAAGGGTTTTGACTGGTAATCTTGATAGTATGTCAGGCATTAAATCCTTCGGAATGTCTTTTATTGTTGTTGTTGCTGCCTTGTCGGAGATTACATTCGGAATGTCTGCCATTTTTAGCTTCTTTTAGAGGAGTAGTGTGAAGGAGGGGTCTAGATTTTGAGACATGGGGGGTTTTGGGTTGTAACTTGGTTGGTTACCAATATTTATTCGTGGAGTAATGCCGGTGTCCAACACCGACTTTTAATCTGTATTAGGTAATACTAAATTCATTCTCCATAGTGTTTAATTTGAAGCTTTTAAAACTGCGTTTTGAATAAAGCTTAAATATTTTAAGTATATTTTGTCCTTTTAATTTTTTATAAAGACAATTAACCCCCTTCTTTAAAAAGTGTTTTAAAAAAATTTGTTACCAAATAAATTAAAAAATAATTAAATTGTAAAATGTATTTATTATATTATGTCAGGAAACACCTAAGACCTTCCCTAATAAGTGTTTAAAAAAAAAATTTGTTACCAAATAAATTAAAAAATAATTTAATTATAAAAAATACTTATTATATTGGGTCACGAACACCTATGGCCATCACGTATGATGTGTACATAATTTTTACAAACCTACTTATTTTAGAGTTGATTTTGTAATAAAAATGAGAAAGAGAGAGGAGAAAGGAAATATGCTGATTTGTCTGTGTAACAATTGGCAATATATATTTTACACAAAATGATATTTTAACAACAGCTCTAAGATACTTATTACTAACTCTAATTTTTTTGATAGATCTACCGATAAAAATACTGTTTTTTTATTCCAACAGCAACCGGGCCGGTAGATTCTTGTGGCCAAATGTTAGAAATCTTGCACATAGATTTCTTGAACTTCTTCCACATTCTCTCCCATCCTCTCTCTCCCCTTCTTTCATTCCAAAAATAAATGATCTCACTAATGATACTTCTCCTCTCCAAAATTGTAAGATCAACAGGTACTGAAGAAATTTAAAAAATTTATGAATCATGAGTATTGAAGAAATTTAAAAAAATGTATGAATCAGTCAACCCTTCTAATGTCAACTATAGTGATAATTGATTGATTTTGAATATTTTTTATTTCTTTTTGATGAATCTATCCATATTTATTTGAGTATGAATTGTAAGATCAACAGGTATTGAAGAAATTTAAAAAATTTATGAATCATGAGTATTGAAGAAATTTAAAAAAAATGTATGAATCAGTCAACCCTTCTAATGTCAACTATAATGATAATTGATTGATTTTGAATATTTTTTATTTATTTTTGATGAATCTATCCATATTTATTTTAGAATGAATTTTACCCATTATACCATGCCGAGAATAGCATACCTCGTGTACGAGCTAAGAAGGGGTTATCCTTAAATAAAAATAGAAAAGTTTAGGATTCCGATTATGATAATAAAAGGAATCTTATTAGAATAAACATGTCTGAATTAGAAGTAAACTCAGTATCAAATACAAACTTTGCTTTATAGAAAAACTTATTTGCTTTTAGAAGGAAACGTATAGAAATTACGGGGAAAAAAAAAAAAAAAAAAACCTCGGAAAAAATTCCAATGTTATGAATTATAATTCTAAAAAGGTGAAAAAAAGAATTTTAAATAAATAAATATTTAATTAATTAAAATAAAAAAACAAAATTTATCTATTAGTTGAGATAAATTTGATGATTTTTTTTCCTCTTAAACTCAATTCAAATATACTGCTATAGTGTCTCATAAATATTATTATTGTACATAGAATTTAACTATGAATATGCTGATGGGGAAATGGAAGTTTTAAAAACTTTAAGAGAGATTTTTAAATAAAGATCTTGATTCATATGTAAAGACAAAAATTTTATGCATGAAGAATATTATGATTCATTCAATTTAGAAATAGTAAAGAAAAAAGACACTAAAATATTCTCTCCTTTTTTTTTTCATTTTTTTTTTTACTACGTATTTTTTATTTTGTAAGAACTTCAATTCTTTTGAAATTTTAATACTACAAATAGGGAATTTCAAACTAAAAAAATAATTATTATAATGGTCCATTCTTATTACGGGTAAAGATCATCCCCCGTGCTGGAGATAATCTAATACCATGGTTGATGTAACACATTCGGGCGAATACCAGTATAAACCGATCGAATCGACCAGTTTATAAAAGTGTGTAACGGTATCTGACCCTTAATGATTCAAATTTCTTCAAAAGCATTGTGAAAATTATTTGCTAAGGTAATAAAAAAATTAAATAGATAAATAATTTAGTAAAATAGCAATGACAAGTTAAAACATCTCAGGTACTCCAATGCAGAATGAGCTCTCTAAATTTACTTTTGCGTGAATGTAGATAGAAGGTCTAAGTTGAGATGCGTTTTTAAGCAAATCAAGGATATTCTCTTGTATTCCACAGAAGAAAATAGAAAGGAGAATTTTAAGTTAACTTGCTTGCTATCAGGTGATGACAACAAAAATGCTTTTCCAGTTCTATAATACTTTCCTCTGCTAAGGAAACAAAAGAGAACATCAAAATATATTATTAGATTACAGCCAAGGTGTGAGCCCTTTAAGCCTGTTTACACCCTCATATTTTACAAACAAAAAAAAAAAAAAAACAACACGAAAAAAGGTCAAATTTAGCCAAACAATGTCTTGGATAGTAGACCTAATGTCATTCACTACTAATCTACTACACATTACACATTAAATTGCAAAACCAAGTTGCTGGGATCAGAGAAGATGTGAGTGCAGCTAAACCGTCAAGCAGCCCACTGGATGGTTCGCAAACAAGCATAAACTTCCACTTGCAGACTTGACAATGCATACACAGATTCTGATAGCAGAAATCCAGGGCAACAGCCACAAAACATAAAGAGGAAAAGATTTTTGGAAACAAAAACTGCACCATCAAAACCATGTGAAAATAAGCTTGCATATTCCAATTCCAAGGTTTTCCAGCATCCATGGAAGCAAGACCTGCATTGCAAATGAAGCACTTAGACGGCACAATTATCAAGTTGTTGAACAATTTATATTTTTACCATTAAACGAGCTAAACAATTCTGAACTTTCTGCAAATAGCAATAGAATTATACCTTGGACAAGGTTTCTGATATTTTTGCAAGTAGCAATAAACTTACACCTTTAGACAGCCCACTGCAATTATCCGTGTCTTAAAGCAGAAAATTGTACAGTCTCTTCTTATTGCATAAAGAAAAGTTATTCCAAATAATGCACAGCTAAAGAAGCTGATTGCCAGGGGGAGTATCAGCTGAGAGAATTGCTGGTCGGCTGAAATGAAGAAAATGGAACCAATCCTATCATCCACTATCTCAATCTAACAGTGCTGAAATGACCTTTTCCTGTTGAGTGAAGCAACGTTCTACCCCTATGTATAGGGGTTTGCACCAAAGACTACTCAATCTTCGGTTTTCCAACACCAAGGCCAAATAGGTGCTGCCTTTTATGCCGTTGTCCATGACAGCATCTATGCCTCCAATTTCATCACTATAAGAGATCACTGTGCCTTCTCAATCATAGCTCTTGCTTCTCATCACTATAAGAGATCACTGTGCCTTCTCAATCATAGCTCTTGCTTCTAAATAGTTTCCCTTTGATAGGGAAAAATATAAACCTACCCTACTCTCGATAAGATTGATTAAATTTCATTATCAAGGATAATGAAATCAAATCTGACGTGGTTCAACAAGTAAGAATAATCCTACTATAACTAGAGGAGGTCAAAAGGATTAAATCATATCCCGACAAATATGGTAATAAATCTCCCATGATTTCGCACAAGCTGAAGATAAGGTCAACCATCGATATCAGCGGAACGATTTTGATTCCAATCGACAGCCATAAATAGGGCATCAAGCCATTAAAGAATGTACGACGTAAAAACTATTATTAATCCCTGCCTTCTTTTTAGACCTCCGTGACTAATTTCATCGTCGGAGAGCTCTTGGCAGGCACCACACCGGTGCCGTCAAGGTTCATCGATCTTCTCCTCTCTTCCTTGCAGGAAAACGGTATCGTATCGGACTGCGCGAATTTCAGCCTCAACATCCTTTGACATTATGCAGTCCTCAATATGCTAATGATTGAATATCATAATCAGCAGTAAAACATGTCTATGGCTCGGCCAAGGAAACTGTAAAAGTAGAGCTGTAAAAAAAAACACTAGTTCATAACAGAAAAATCTAATCTCTTTACACACTTTGTGGGGATGAAAATGATAGTAAATCATTCCCTTGAATATCGCTAGTCAGAAGGGAGTTATAAATTGAAAACCTGGGAATGTTGAGTTGTACAGGACATGAATTGATTTTTACTTCAATAGAAGTAATTTCATGATTCAGGCTTATATTCTTTTTTAGATATGCAAGCTCTTTTGTGATAGCTGGTGTTACAAGCAAATATGGTGCACAAAAATAGTAGAGTAGTTCATATTATCAGAATGTTTTACAACAGAAGCCTGGTAAAGCTACAGTCTATTAAAGCAACAATCTGTCTCTGCCAAGCATGTCGAGTTTATCAGCGTCCCTTTCATCCATCAAGTTAACTATATGTAACAAGACCACCCCCATTTTAACAATTTATTTAAAAGTCTAAACACTGGCAAAGGCACAATATTAGATGCCACGAACATCACTTTCACAGTTCAATATGTATTTATGTACTACTTCAAACACCTTTATAACAAAAGTCCAAGTTGCATCGTCTCGACTACAATTCAATAACCTTACACACAAAACAGATAGATATGTATAAATATATATAGACAGAGATTGCTGCAGATTAGAATAAATTACTCTTTGAACCGTCCAAAACCATGGTCTAAAATTATGCCATACCATCACTACAAAGTCAAGCTCTTAACGACATAGATCAAATTTTAAAATGGAGAACATGCTCTACTGCATTTTAAAATAAAGGACTTATTGTTGACCTGAAAAGAAAATTGAATAAACAAAAATAAACAATTTCCAAAACCTAGATAGCAACAGCATCACGGCACAACAGGAAAGCTTTACGAGGATGCTTACAAATCTGACATACAATGAAACCTGTGAAAGTAGATTATGAACTGCTTTTACATTAAAAAAAAAAAAAAAAAAAAAAGCCTATTTTATAAGGCTGAAATTCAGCTTCTATAGCTAACAAGAGCTCAGAGAAGCAAAAGGTGTAAAATGAACAGTCATTTACCATCTCATAATGTCATTTGTCGCAGAGATGTTTTAATTTTGCATCAACCCAAACATTGAGCTTCTAACAGCATTCAGAGGAGGGATGCAAGGTTGGGCCAACACAAGCTTGCTGATACTGAAGAAGCATGATGTTTTAGTTAGATGATCCTCTTTGTTTCTACCATTTATTAATGCCAACTCTAATTCTACAAATGATACAGAAAAAGCCATTGCTTTCTTCTCCCAACCTCTAGACTTGCATAGCATTAATCATCCCAGAAACGGTTCAATCAATTATTTATTTCTGCATACTTGATTCAGGACACTCCACTACTTGATATCAATTATACCAAAACCAGTAGGAAATAATGTCTAAACTTGTTTGTTTGCTTGTCTATGCAACAACTCCGAGGGAAATGATGGAACAATTTCCCGGATTTACAATAGTCTAATTTGAAACTTCCCGACATCATATTCAAGTATGCAGGATATTCCCTGTGAAAAATGTTTGTACCACGATCCCCTTTATTGCAAGCTGTTAAATTACAAAAGAAGGATCTTAGGGTCTTGTTGAACGTGGTCTTTTGTTCATCATGACCTTCCCATCCTAGCAATATGTGCCATTAGCTCCATATTTCCAGAATTCTTCAGATATTCAATTATATCGTCCACATAAGGAGTTTTTGGTTGTATTCCCTTCTTAATCATCAACCTTGCAAGTGTTGCAGCTTCCACCAAATGACTTTCCCGACAAAGTCCAGCTAAAAGAATGGAATAAATATCAGAATCAATCGAAGTTAAGTATCCCAACTTTTCAATTTCATCATAAAAGCGAAACCCATCTAACACCCGCCCCTCCAAACAAAGCCTTCTTATCAGAGTGCTAGAAGCCAAACCATCAGGCTTCACATCACTGGCCAACATTCTTCTAGAAAGCTTCTCTGCCTCATCCAATTTTTGATTCTGCAAAAGTGACAGCATAAGAGAACTATAGCACTCACCATTAGAAACACTGCCTCCTGCAACGACTTTATCAATCAGCTTATAAGTCTCCTCTAAGCACCCCTCTGTGCAAAGGCCCTTAATTAAAGTACTGAGAGTGACACGATTTGGAGCGCATCCACAAACCACCATTTGATCCAAAACTTGCAGTGCCTCCATTGACCGACCATCCTCACAAAGCCTCTGAATCACGGCCGTATATGTAACAGTATTTGGTTTACACTCCCCACCCTCTTTCTCCATCTCCTCCAACAACTCTAATGCCTTCTCCACTTTTGAAAACCTACAAAGCCCATCAACAAGTGTTGCATATGCTACCACATTGGGTGAACATCCATGCCTCCTCATAACCTTAAACAGTCCACAAGCATCTTCCAACCTACCCACATCACAAAATCCCTTAATCATTGCAACATATGTAATCATATCTGGATAAAGATCAATCAAACCCATCTCCCTCATCAACACTGCTGCAACATCCATTTTACCCTTCTCACAGAACAATCTAATAACAACATTATATGCCGTTGTGTCAGGCCGACAATTAAATTCCTTCATTTTCCTCAATACCCACAAACCCTCGTCAGCAAGCTTAGCTTCCTTACACAAATTCAAAAGAACCTTAAATGTCTTAACACTTACCAAACAACCCTCAACCCTATAAGCTTCAATAACATCATCAAAAACTTGCCGATTTCGATTAATTCTGAATAATTTACACACTTTTGCATACATATATGAGCTGTGTCTATAGTTAGCTTGCAGGCCAGCCCAAACAAAGAACCTAAGACCCAGAAGAGGTTGATTAGGAGCACATCTCTGTAAGACCTCATTGACACATGAAATGTCCAATGGTGCCCCAACTGTGTTTAGAGCCTTTTCTGGGTTTGAAACATTTTTCTGCAAGTGGGTCCAGTATTTCTCTGCAGATGAAAGAGTTGTGAATGGAAGTGAAAAAGTAGGGTTTTTTAATCGAACCCCCGATGAGAGGAATCGAGGGATTGAAGAACTGGCCATTGATTTTGCTGATAAATTTTCGGTATTACTGAAAATGGGTTGCCCAAAACCTTAAACCCTAAAATTGTTGGAAAAAGTCAACCAGAATATGAATATGAAACTACCTTTGACTATGCGGACATCGGAGAGAGATTGCAGAGCTTCCAAGATTGAATCCAAGCGACCTCAGGTACTCCTTCTTGTTCCTTATTACCGGTGTTACTTGATTGAATGTCTCTGTGGGTATGAAGGCGTAGTTCAGAACTTCAGATGATTCTAATCGCCGACTTGACGACGAAGAGACTTGAAGGAGATGATTATCAAATTGTTGCTAATATTGCTTCTTCAGAAGCGATTATGGAGTGAGGAGTAGGGTCTGCCTATTTTGAGAATAGGGCCAGACCCATTGCGGTGGCTGTCCCTCCTAGAAGTGGGTCAGATTGCGGTCGGTTTGCTGGGTCTTGTGACTTAACTGACTTGCGCAGTTAATTTTGATTTAGGCTGCCTTTGTTTGTTTGATGTAAAATATTTTTAAAAAATTTATTTTCATGTTTTGGTGTTTAATTGTCTTAAAATAATTATAAATAGAGATATTAAAATTTAACAGAAAGATTTTTATTAATTTTTATAAATTATTTTACATGTCCCAACCACCCTATTCAATGACTCGAACTCAATTTGGATCTAATTGCCAAATATTAAAAAATAGATATAAAAAATTATTTTACCTGGAAAAAATATTTTTTTTAAAAAAATATAGTTTCTGTTAATGGAGCCTACCATTTTTTTAAAAATAAATAATTGAGTAATGCTATTAAAAAATAATAACATAAACTCTTCTTATTTAATTAATGAATTGAAATAATTTTAAATAAATCATTTAAAGTATATATGTCAATTCAATAGTTAAAAACAAATAGCTCACACCTCTTACCTAAATTCAGACTATTCGTAATTATTTTTGCACTCTGATAAATTTCATTACCTTCCCCTGCCCTATCTTTTTTCTTGTTTTTAAATTTTAATAATATAAATACCAACAATACTTCACATTCTTATTAATGAATTAAGGTCATTAATACCATTTATTACAAAAAAAAAAAGTGGAGTACATCTAGGAGTTAAGGACAATAACTTGAGAGAGAGACTAGTAGTCCCACTTAAATTTCTTTTTCATTAATTTATAACTTCTTTCTTTGGTTATACAAATCTTTCTTGAGGTTAGTTGCTCTTCTTTCAAGAATTATTTCTAAACTAGCTACACTGTACTTCATATGAAATGAATGACGAGGGTGAAGGAAAGATAAAAAGGAAGAAACAAGCTGTGTATTCGTTGGATAGAAAGAATGAAAAAAGAGATGATAAAAGAAGATGATGGAAGGAAGACACGAAAAAAAAAAAGACAATGCATTATAAATGTTTTTAAATTATAAAATTTTCTTTATAACTAACATTTTCTCTTTTTTTTTCGCCTAACAAACAAAGCAAAGCATTATTTCATCCTCTTCTCACCAAATAAAAAGAGGGAAACTACACAATCTATTCCATAGGAATGTCTCGTTCATCTCTTCTTCTTTCTCTTTTATTTAATTTTTTTTCCATCGTGTTAGATGATATTAGGATTAGAGTTTACCACAACCGCCTTACTTACCCAGAGTTTCTATTTTTAGGTTTATTTGGGCAACACTGCATACCTACCCTCTTCAATATATACCTCCAATACTCTCTTGTATTATGTATCTCATATCAATACAACACATTATATTTCTCTCATATATACTTCTAACACATCGTATCAAACTGAGCATAAATTAATTATTACTAGGTTATCCTAAACATTAAACACACTTTGATTTTTTACAGTTTTAAATAAAAGGAGTGTCCTTATTTTGTTATCACTGAAAGTTGGAAACATCAAGAAGCAAGAGAATCAGATCCACCAATTACGATCTTTTTCAAAGTACTTTCGGCTACAAACTTGAGAAAGAGAGAGTCTAAGTCGGTTGTGTACAAAAATTGTTCAAATGTTCCATAAGCAAAAAAGAAAAGATATATTTGGTGTTGGATTAAAGGAATTTGAACAAGATGAGGGGCTTATTAACTCTTTATTTATAATCTAGTTATCCCTTCAATAATAGATTGATTTGGAAGGAACGAGTCACAAATTTAGTAGTAAATTACAAACACAATTGAATTTTAATTTTGTTTTTGCCAAGCATATTTGATTTAGTGTTTTTCATTTTATACATTACAATTGAATCTTCTGCTTACCCAATTATATAACAAGAGACTCATTCTCTCTTCCTCTTATCTCCACCATTGAAATGTATTGAGCACATAAGGCAGCATAGTAGGAGCTAAGCAAGTAAGTTGAAGATTAAGAGTTACTTAAAACTACATTTTGTAATGAGATAAAAGTGATTCCTTGCTTCTTCTTGGTGCAAACGTTCTGCAACAAACACTGTGAAACCAAAAATCCGGTTAAGAAAACGATAGAAAAATAAATTTATACTATACAAAACACAAAAATTTACGTTGTTTGGCATATAGCTTATATCTATTGTAGAAGCCAAGCACTCCGACCCCCTTGTCGAGGAACAACACAAACCCAAGCACTCTTATATTGGATACTAAAACCCCAGATCTACATCCTGTAAGACAAGATGGATAAAAAAAAATACATCGACACAAAATCGAGAACAAAATTCAGACCACAACCACACATATGGCCATTCCTTAGAAGAATAAGATTAGAATAAAGCAAAAATGCAAATGAGGAGTACATGGTAAGCAAAATAGATTTAGATTCCGTGAGCGCGAACAGTTGGGAGACAGAGACCCACACAGTGGGCCAATTAAAAATTACTACCATTGAACACAAATACTTTAGCATATCCATTATTGTAAGAATAAAATTAACCAAAAGCAAAAAAGAAAAAACAGAGAGTCACTAAGTGGTCCTATATAACATCATATACATCATATATATATATATATATATATATATATCATCATCATCCCAAAGTACTCAAGAATGTGAAGAGGGAAACAGAGAAGAAAGGCATACCCTCCAAAGTTACAAAAACAAACAAAAGCTAGCGTAGACAGGTCCAAAAAGAAGAATCCTGACCACCACACAACCTATTTGCTGCCCATCAAATCATATGCACTTCCAAACCATCCCTACATTCTCTAAATTTGACTCCAAACCAGAGTTTGTGACTCACAAAAGCCAAGTTAAATTTTGTTTTCTCAAATCATTTTGATGCATACATGTATCTATATATGATTGTAATTATCTAAATATATTTTGTGGATGACACAATATTTCTGAAATTTAGCATAATAAATATCTGAAATCTATGAAATTGTTTTATTCAAGTAGTTTACCTCTACTAGTACTTTTGGGTAGATTGAAAGACTAATTAACAAAAAGGAGTAATTGAATGACTGTGACTATGTAGGATTTAAATATGTAAATAATTTCAAAAAGATAATTATGAAAACCTACATAATGAGCCTCATAATTAATGATAATTGAACTCTCAAATATAAATAGCCTTTTATTTCACTTCTATAAGCTTTTAAGTTTTGTAATAGTTACGTCTTACCAACGGACTTGGATGCCCTCCATTAGTTTATATCTCCAAGTATCTCCAAGCCATCATCCAACACCGTTATTTATTAGGATTTAGTTAAGCACGTAAGCATAACTAAGTGGGTAGTTGCACAACTAATGACGACAATGTTTATTACCGTTGGATGATGAGTTGGAGATGCTAGGAGAGAGACACTAATGGAGAGAACCCTATGCCTAAAGTTGATTTGTTAAAAGTGTAAATGTAAATTCATTCAAATGGTTAAAAAGGAACTAAAGCATTGGTTGGAATCAGCTCACTCCTTCCCAAAACTTTAACTCTATCACCCTCTCCTTTTCTTTCCTTTTCCTTAGCTCCTAAGTCTTCTCTCTATAATATTCTCATCTTCTTACAGATTCTGCAACATCACCAAGTAGCAAAGCAGAGCTTCTCTCTGTTCTTCTATGGCAGATACAGACTCTCTCATGAAAATACAAAGACTAGGCTCACAATTACCACCAGACTATGCAAACCAGAGTAAGTTTTTCACTCATTTCATTTACAAAGCTGTATTTTTCACAATTTTTCTAGTTGTAATTCCTCTGTTCCCTTTAGAAACTCCTGAATTTATCAGCACAACACTTCAAACCAGGAGTTGGGAGCTCCTTCAGATTACTTTTGTAGGTATTGCCATCTCTTATGGCCTATTCAGTAAGAGAACCGACGAAACAGAGAAAGAGTACAGCTCGAAATATGATAGTGCACAATCCTTTATGTCTAGATGTCTTCAGGTTTCGTCGGTTTTTGATGATGAGACTGAAGGCCAGTATAATTTTAATGACCACAAGGTTCAAACTTGGAATTCTCAGTACTGCAAGGGTGAGCCAGTGGTTGTAGTAGCTCAACAAAGCTCTGTTCTTGAAGAACAGAGAGGAACCAGCTCTAGATATGGCGAAAAGCCGTTGTTTTTGCCAGTTAGGAACTTGAAATCGCCGTTAGTAGAGTCTGATGTTATTGAGTCCACCAATAGGTCTAGTGTCAAAACTGGTTCTCTTAGAAGGTCTAGTTTAAATCCGAGTTCAAATCTTTCTTCAAGCACTTCTACTGAGGAAGAGTTGGATGGTCCTCCCCTGTATTCTCTGCCTCCTTCAATGGAGGAATCAAGATCTTTTAGACCCCAAACATCTTATTCTCCAACACCATCAATATCTTCAGCAATGAAGGTAACTCCTTTGCCTTCATGGCCAATGGAAACACAAATCAAGAATGTTGAAGATATGACAAGGAAGAACAAGCTTTATTACAAGTCTTCAACTCCACCAGCCACTCCACCACCACCACTATATATCCATAAATCGCCACTGATGAAGTCAAATTCCGGTCTTGAAAACTATGAGGCCTCTTCTGAGAAGGAACTGAAGCGAAGCGTTTTAAGTGTGCCCAAGGATTTGAACAGGGCAAGCTCAGGCTCAAAGTCGAGGACAAGAACTCAAAATGATGGCTTACTGATGGCTAGGTCAGTTCGAACAATTAGAGCTGGTGAGCCAGTTGATGGCATGAATGCAAAGGCAGAGAAGCGATCAAAAGAAGTCGAAGCAACTGGTGAGTTTTTTCATGAAAGTGTCCCTGTGGTTTCAAAATCAACTTTCTCAGAGTATGGAATGGAAGAGAAAAGACTTTTTGACAAGGTGGTTGTGGGAACTGATGAAGAATCGGATAGTGAAGCCGGTGACTTTGAAGGAGATTTGGACAGTGAAGAAGTTGCTTCTAACAATGTTGGTGATGGAGGACCAGACGTTGACAAGAAGGCCGATGAGTTCATAGCCAAATTCAGACATCAAATTAGGCTTCAGAGGATTGATTCAATCAAGAGATCGACTACGCAGCTTGCTAGAGATCCTCTGAGGTGACTTTGTTGATCTTCAAAGGTGTTCCAATGTTGTATCAGATGTTTTTCTGTTTCTTTTTAGATTTCATGGTTGTAGTATGTGAGGAGATTTGCATGGTTTGCTTTCCTTTTAATTAGCAACCACACTGGAGAAGTGTTTATGATCTTGGTTATGTATGCTGTTGATTAGGTTTTATTTTTTCATGATTGGGAAATAGAGCTTTGGCATTTCTTCTATTAGATCAAACAGATTCTCTCTATAATCTGTCGTTCTATTAGATCACCTTCTTATTTCTCTATTTTATTTCATGACTACTATATCCCTTCCTTCTCTACTTCTTTTTACATGAACATGGTGAAAGAATAAAAATGATAGATTTTCTAGGACAACTCCAAGCATAAATGCTTAGCCATATTAGATTTTCAAGACAATTTCATCTTCCAAATTCTCCTTTAAGAAAAAAAATATACAAATAGCTTCTTAATATCGATGTTGACGCAGTGTAATTTGTACAACTATTCACTCGATATTTCAATATTTGAAATTTTATTTAGAGTCCGACAAATATGATGTGAGTGAGGGCAAGGTATCATATTCGACTCTCTATATCTTACCTTCATGGTTGCCTCCACTAACGAAATTGGCCACGGCCTACAGTGGAGGCTAACAAATTACCATATGCATATAACAAAAACGCGTTTCGTAATCAACCCTACAATGGATGGATAAGAAAATTATATTTCCATTAAAGGTGGGGTTATATTTAGGGAGTATAAATTTTTAAGGCTACACGTGAACATGCATTCTCTTCTTAAAAAGTAGTAACTTGCTCTTTTAAGTTTTGAATATTTAAGTTTGAAATTTTAATCTTCAAAGATATATATAAAAAGTTGTGAAATATGTTATTTGAAAAAAAAAAAAAAAAATGGAATTATTTTAGGACATCCAAAAAAAAAAAAAAATTTGTGCAAGCTTGTTGGAATTTGTGTAGTGTGTGCTTTGAAGAGAGCATGTGTGACAATGAAATGTTACCAAAACATTCACATGAAGTGAATGGTGAGGTCAGCATTTAGCTAGCAGGCCCAGCACTAGTATATATATATATATATATATATATATATATATATATATATATATATATATATATATATATATATATATTTGACAACAGCACTAGTGTGTGTATAAATATATATATATATATATATATATTTTGCAAGGCCCAGAACTTGTACATGCATTACCTGAGAATGAAATTGCATTGTTGGATAAAATTTTGTTTCACAAAAAAAAGAGATACATGTACGTATCTAAATTTGATATGATTCACAAAAGCTCAAGTTAAATTATGCTTCAATAAAAGTTGACTAGTACAAGACACTCGCATATTTTATTTATACATTTATATATATATAGTCACTCAAGGAAGGAAAGAAGAAGATTTTGGAAATCAAGAAAAGTTATACAAGGATTTTTTTTTTTTTTTGAAAGTTAAATTTTAACATTCAATAGAGAAAAGGTACAAGTACAGCCCAGTAGTTAGCCCAATGCTAACTACAAAATAGTATACAAGAACAGCCCAATAGGCCCAGTGGGAGAGATGCAACATTATAGACCAATAAACCAGCCCAACAGCAGTAGTCTGTGAATTTGAATATCAACACAGCAATCCGGTGATCATGGAGATTGATTCCAGCAGTGGTAGGAGAAATTTAGCACCTCAAGTCAGGTGGTTTTGCAGGTGGACGAATCACTGTATCTATAACCATACATGTACTTATAGATACATGTTTGGGGGAGGGTTTTGGCAGCTAGAGAGACGATTGACTTATTGAGGAATAAAGGAGGCGACTAGGAAAAATAAGTGCAGTGAAAGGTTCGTGCGTGGAGGCCGTTGGAATAGGCTGCCCCAGGTAAGCAGCAGCCTGTTGATTCTGGATATGGTTTTCCCCAAACACGACATCTTTTTTGGGACAGAGATAATATTTACGTGTGCTTGTACAACATGCAATTTTCATTTGTCTGAGTTATTGTGTTACTTGTGCGTGTACACTTCTTTCCTCTAATATATCGTTCCATGCATGTAACTGTGCTATATATTCTTTACTCTTTCATATTACTGTATTTAATTCTATATATTCTCAAATATAATTTTTTTTATTTTTCACTAAAAATTCAATGTCTTTAAGACCATGGTCTTCAATTAAGTAATGGAATATATTTATACACACACTTTGTGAAAATTAATTAGATTCTTATACATTTTTGTAGATATTTTTTTTATTTTTCTTAAAGATCTTTTAATTTTTTTTTTTGTAGTGGTAGATATTTATAGATTTTTATTTTATTTTTGAAATTTTATAGACCTTTTAGTAATAAAATAAGTCTAGAGCACTTTTAGGAGTTAAGCATGTGCATAAATGTATTATGTGATATTCTAATCTAATGTTAAAAATATATATATATATATATATATATATAGGTTATCAAGAAAAGATGGGAAAAAGAGAGAAATCTTATTTATTTTAGATAAACATTGTTTATTATTTGAATTATAATTTTTTTATTAATTTGTGATGAATTTATGGTGTCATAGTTATTGAATAACAATATTTAATTAGTTTAATTTTTTATTAATTTGTGATAAATTTATGATGTGATAGTGTCAACTTGCATAAAATGAAATTTTATTTTATTATTTCTAACATTTATTTATTTATTTTATTATTTATTACATTTTTTAAATATCTTTACAAGGTTCTGATACATAAAAATATATCAATAATGCGTGTATATGTAGTCAAATTTTTAGTCGTGAATTTTTAATCCATAGAACGTATTATACACAGTATATATTTGTATTCATATCTTTATATTTTTAACTAAATTTTATAAGATATTTTTAAAAAAGAAAATCTAATTAGACTCGTACTTTCCCAATTAGTCTTTTTCCTGTGCCATATTTTACTAATTATTGTTGTCTTAGTTCAATGATTTATATAATTTTTACCGGCTATGGAGCTCCTCATATTATTTAACATTTTCAGGTAGAGTTGCTTCGAAGTTTTGCTGTCCGAATGCAGAAATTTTCTCTCTTTTTTTGTTCAAGTCATCTTTGGTGCTTAGTATATTTACGTTAAAGCTTTTAGATGCGACTTAAAAAATAGGGGTTGCGAACTTCTCAGCTCCTGTACTGCATTTACGAATCATGAAGAACTCTTAAATTTCGGTTTGTGTTCAAGGTTTCATTAATTTAGGTTTGGGTTAGTTTCATATATTACTAGATTTTGCCTATTAATTGCAGTATGATCTTAGAAGCATGCGACAAGAAATTTGGGCCGTTACAAAGTCCACTTGTTTATTAAAAGATGCATGTAACTAGGAGAAAGTATAGAATATTCTGAGAGTATCATACACGTACAATCATGTTTTTTTTTTAAAAATAATTATGCTTATCATGGCAAATTGAGAATTTTCATGAATGGTCTCGTTAGACGGGTAAGACATGTAAATACCCGGGAGACTGGACTGTTCTATACTCTCTCCTAAACCAGGTGATTAGAAAACACTTGCTACTCCAAGTAGTGAAGCAGCAATCTGTGAATTTCGGCATTAGATTTCAAAAGAATTTCAACCATCTGTGATATGGCATGAATATGGTTCGTTTTAAAGAGTTGACATGGTAAAAAATGTTTCCTAACAGATTCAAAATCATTTTCTCAATCATTTGGGAAGTTTCTGATAGTTTGGGAGTACATTTTCAAGACCTGTTGGGAATGCTCTTCTTTAGTTGCTGTTTGTTTTGGTGTTCCTTTGCCTTCTTTCGTTTTTTGAGTTTGCAGTTGTTGGGAAATGATTTTTCCATTCCTTGCAGTTCTGTTTGGAGGTGATCCTCCTTTTGGTTGTATCTGTGTTCTTGGTTTAATGAAGTTCATTTAGGGGGGGGAGGGGGAAATCATTTTCTCAATCATTGTCTAATTCCTGAATTCAAATCATCTGCACATTTGGCTTTGATAACCAAAAGGCCGGTTCAAACTTGGAATTCTCAGGACAATATGGGTAATGCCAGTGGTTGTAGTAGGCCAACAAACCTCTGTGATTGAAGAACAGAGAGGAACTAGTCATAGATATGGTGAAAAGCTGTTGTTTTTGCCGGTTAGGACCTTAAAATCGTGATTAGTGATAGGTAGTGTGGAGCCTGATAGATAGCAAATTTTTTGGAGGCTATTTTGATAATTTTCACACTTAATATGTTACCCTACTACAAAGGTATTTATTCATTCCGAATACTCTATATTCGCTGATATTTTGAACCCTTGAACATAGTCCTAATTTTGGGTAAACTAAGTAAAAATCTGTATGTTCTTGTTGTGTATGTGTGTTTGTTCTCTTTGTTGTGTGTGCGTGTTTGGTAATTTTAGCACTTAATATGTTGTCGTAGTGTAAGGGTATTTATTCATTCGGAATATTCTGTATCTGCAGATGTTTTGATCCTTTGAACGTAGTTCTAATTTTGGATAAATTAAGTAAAAAACTGTATGTTTTTGTTGTTGTGTGCACCTGTTTGATCTCTTTTTTGTGTTTCCTATTCAATTTCGGAACAGTTAGTAGAGTCTGATGTTATTGAGTCCACCTATAGGTCTACTGGCAAAACTGGTTCTCGGTCCTCCCCTGGATACTGTCTCCTTCAGTGCATGAATCTGAACTGAATTGGCTTGAATCATTATCCTTTAGACCCCAAGCTTAGGTGACTTTTTTTATCTTCAAATGTGCTCTCTTTGTATTACATGTTTATTTTTATTTTATTTTTTTTCAGATTTTGTGGTTGTGGGTTGACCAGGTTTTGATTTTTGTATGGTTGGAATAGAAAAGTCTTCTACTCCAATTAGCTTTCCTAGCAATACCCTTAAACTATGTTTACTATGTCTGTCCTGCTTATCAGCACTTCAATGACTGTAAATGAAGCTGCAATCCATGCCTTTCTGCATTTGGTTTTCAAATGAATTTCATCCATCTTTGACATGGCATGAATACGGTTTCCGACAGATATAAATCGTCTTCTCAATCGGATTTTATATAAACAGGAATGAGAGGAATCCACCAAAGAAGATCCTTCACCTTCTTTCATTTTTTTTTTTTTTTTTTTTTTTTTGGGAAAGAAAATGAACACTTCAAAGTTTAATGCTACCAATCACAATATGAAACTTTTAACAAATGAATTGATACTAATTCACAATATTCAAAATGTTGGAAATTTGAAAATCATTAAAGTTGAATTTCAAAAGGGCCTTGAGTACAATGTAGAAGTATGGTTGGAAAGTCTCCAAAGTCAAGGAAACAAATCGCTAGTTTTATCAAAATGTCTCCAAAGTCAAGAAAGGCTTCTAAAAGTCATCTCAAATTAAGGAACCACACAAATTGAAAGGTAGATTTCGAGGGACATTGTGACCCTAATTTCTACCATCAATCACAAAAACAAATTACTAGATAATTAAATAAACCCTAAATCAGTAACACAATGTCCCCACAAAATCACACCCCATTAAGTATGTATGACACAAGAATACAAAGATAAAGATTCCTTTGTAATCACAATTGATCTAGATTATCAATTTATAATTATAATTTAGCAGACCACCTCAACTGACTATAATTAATTAGACAAATAGTACTTTACATTTGAAAACCTCTTCCCACCCTTCCAAAGTTCTTGAAAGAGGAGGAGAAGAATTAGTACTCATTAAGGATTAAACTAAACAGTCACTCTAAGAAGAGGGGTCAATGAAACAAAACATATTGAGACCCACCATATCACATTCTAACCACCATATCTCAATACCTCATATAGATACAGCATGGTTCACTATCATATTTCCGTACTTACAGATTCCATGAGCAAAATATTTTGGATGGCAATAATGCCCTTGATCGTGCATATAATTACGATCGAGGGTGGAGGGCATCGAACGGCCTGTGAGCGATCGGGGTGGTGGCCCACGGGTTGATGGGAATGGGCCGATGGTGGATCGGACCAGACGGGTGGGGTCGAGGGTTGACAGGTGTCGCGGCTGAGGCGGACGATGATGGTGGGACCCCGACACGCTCACATGAAGGGCACATGGTGAGGGTGGTGGGAGGGGTCATTTGCATGTAGAACTGTGGGGAGAGTTTGAGTGCCCTAAGCTCTTGCACTTCCTTCTGTAGCCTTCTGTTCTCCTCCGTCAGATTCTCACAGCATCTCTTCAAGAACTCACAGTCAACCTCAGTTTGTTTCAACTTGGTCCTGTAAATATCATTTGCGCCACACGTCAATTATACTATAAAACCCAAAAGGGTATAAGAATGATTCACACCAAAAATGGCACCAAACTTTAGGTATTGTTTGGTTTGTTTAATTATAGTTATTTTAAAACAGCAAAGCTTTTTATTAAGTGTCTTTGCATTGCTCTACCAATAAACTGCTTTTCTATCGGATGGCCTAGAAAGTGCTTCTTGTTAGACCGTGTGGTAATGTTTGGAGGAATCAGTATTGTGTCTGTATTTTCTTAGTCATTTTTTTATTATATGCATTTAAATAGTTAACGTAACAATATTTTAAATTGATAATGTAATAATTGGGATGGATTCTCTTCAGGAAAATTTGTCTCCAAATATGTACAAGTATTTAATCCTACGATTGTTAAGGCGCCACATCAACAATCTAATTAACTAATGAATATGTTTAGTTATCTTGCTACAATCTTCTCTCACTCAAAAACCAGTCAATCTTTTTTCTGTAGGATAAAATACAGATAAATTTTCTTAAAGAGGATTCATTCCCGTAATAATTACATATATGTGTTAAATTTTATATCCAATTATGCTGCAACATTAAAATGAGTGTTACATCTTTGATAGAGATGCGTTACATAAATTTGATAGAGATGCGTTACATAAATATTATCTTGTAATGTAAATGTAAGAGTGTGTTGTATTCACTGTTGATATACAAATACACTAGAATAAACATGAGTTTTTCTATTAAAAACCCTTCATAGTTTCTCAAATTGCAATGCCAAATATTCACTAAAAATGATTATAAAAAGCTTTTTCTACTTCTTAGAAATTCACAAATAACAATCAAAATTTTTTGCAATAAATTAAATTAAATTCAAAAAAGCCCTTGAATCATAAGTAAAATATCTAACCTAGCCCTCCTGTTCTGAAACCACACCTCCACCTGACGAGGTCTGAGCCCGAGACGTTTAGCCAAAGCCATCTTTTGCTTCTGCAAAACCAACCAAAAGAAAAACCACAACTCGTCAGCAAAATGACCAAAACACCCCTCACACGGTCACCCCACCATTTTCTTTATCTACTGTTTCTATAATACTCACGGGATTGAGTGTGTTGTGTTCTTTGAAGCTCTCTTCGAGAATCGCCGACTGGTCTTTGGAGAGCCGGAGCTTCTTCCGGCCCATGTCGCCGTCTTCTTCATCGCTGATTCCTCGAGAGCACGATCTCTCGAGCTCGTGTTCGTCTCCGTTGGCCTCTCTCTCGCTCCTCTTCCCACTCACGCTCGAGATCGTGCTGTTCGGAGACGAAACGCCGGCCTCGTCTTCGCAGTCCACCGTCGACGGCGATCGATTCACGTCGATTCCTTTCAGGAACGACCTCGTCTCCACTCTACATGTCTCCGAGTTTCGATCTGCATAAAAAACGAACAGATTTAGTTTAATCGCATCATGGAGCTTCGTATTGATCTTAAATGAAACTATGAATGATCAAGTCCCAGATCTGATCAATAAGGAATGAAATTGTAGATTCTCTTGGAGATTTTAGAAAATGAAAGTGTTTTTAATTACTCAGAAGATAAAGTTTAGTAGTACGTGTTATAGATAGAAACAGAGAAAAAACAGAAGCTTAAATCCGCCATTAACAAGGCTTAATTTGAGAAATTATACATATAAATATATACTCCTATATATATATATATATATATATGATTTTTTTATAGAAAGAGAGAGGTTTTGACCATCTTCGAATCTGAACAATAGCTAAGAAAAAGCTCAAATCCGCCATTAATGAAGTTTGGTTTGAGCAATTATACATATAAATATATATATATATATAGGATTTTTTTATATATAGATAAAGAAAAGAGATTTTGAGCATCTTCGAATCTGAACAATTGTCAGAAAATAAGAAAAGAAGTAATCGAAAAGGTTTTGAAAGAGAGAAAAAAAAAAAAAAAAAAAGGGAAAAAATAGAAAGAACACTTCTTTCTGAAAGAGAAAATGATCTGAAGCTAAAACAGATCTGAAAGTTCACAGAAACAAAGCAAAAGACAAGAACTTGCAGATCAAAAAGCTCACCGGAGGAAGGGAACGTCTCGTTCCAGGAGCTCTTCTGAAGAGTACCGAAAGGCGAAGGAGAAGAAGATGAAACCAGAGAAGGCATCAGATTCAGTTGCAGTGAACTCCGATTCTCCGGAAAGCTCAAGCTCAGATTCAAACCCAAGTCCTCTTTCCCAACCATCGTGTTCTCAAACGCTTCCTTGTGTTTGTTCTTATGCGTAACTGAAATATATATATATATATATATATAGTTGAGGAAGCACACGGGTGCTGGGAATAGGGATGTGGTTTTTAGAGAGAGAAAGTGAGGAGAAGAGTAGAGAGAGAAAGTGTTTGAAGGTTTGAGTTTATGAGGGGATGCTGAACGAGGGGAGTGTTATATAAAAGAAGAGAATGGGTGGGGGGTTGGGGAGGAGGATGGTGCAGTTCAATCATGACATGTTATGTCAGAGGTACCAATTATCTCAATCATGGCTTTTGCCACCTTCAAATGTTATTTTTTTTATTTATATATATTTTTAGTCCTTTTAGCAAAGTTTCATAAATGTGTAGACTATAGACTTTAGACTGCATTTAAAACATTATGATATTTTGTCTATATTTAAAATAGAAATTAGTGTATTTAGTTATAACTTATAACCATATAAATGTATTTTTTCTTATACAAATGTCAAATAGGAGGGAGGAAAATTTTATTAAATGAAATCCGGGTCAACCATCCATAGTTTCATAGTTTGTTTATAAATTTTGAATATATATATATATATATAATAAGCAAAAAATTTATCAGTTTTAATAAAAATGTTGGTTAAATTATAGTTCATGTATATGGGATCGAAACATGTATTATAAGAAGAAAATTAAATAAATCATATTTTCAAAATTTATCAATTTTAATAAAATGTTCTTTGAATTATAATTAGTGTATTGTGGAATCCAAACACGTATTATAAGAAGAAAAAAATTAAAAAATTAAAAAATAAATCATATTTAACTGTCATTAAATTTTGTGTAAACTTGTAAATAAGATATTATTACTCTATGTATGTGTGTGTGTATATATATATATATATAGTTTTATTATATAAAAAAACTTCAATTTGAGAGAGTTTTTTTTTTTTTTTCAGATTCTACAAATTCTTAAAAGTGTATTTTGAAATGACTGAATCTATTTAGGACTTGTGTTTCTAACTGAAAATTTAAATGTAAGTGTGGGCATTTTGATAATTGTGTAGGGATTATGATTGGTTGATGTAGAAATATTGCCATTAAAGAAAAAAGTTAAGAAAAATTGAATTTCTTAATTTGAGATATGGAATAAAATAAAGATGACAAAGTGCTAAAAGTGACATCAACGTCCAAAAAAAGTAGAGGTGTGCTCAAGGATCAAAAGTTATTTTAAAAATAAAAAAGTTTCCTAACAATGATAAAATAAAAAGTAAAAAGTAAAAAGAAGAAAAAGTTATTAAAGCCTATCTGGAATACAGAAATATATTTAAAATTGAACAATAAAAAAATATGAAGTTGCAATATGAGTGTAACTAATTGTAAGATAAATTAATTTTGATGTGATGACAGAAATATGTTTCTTTTATTAAAATATATTTTATCTCTTACTCACATATAATGAAGTAATTATAAATAATTTATTATTAAAACAAAAAATATATATATAATAGAACACATGACTTGTAATTCAAAAGATTAAAAAATAATAATACTCCCAATCATATCACGTGATGATATTATTTATCTATTACATTTGAATTTATTTGATTAAAAAAAAATAGTGGAAAATCTAAAAACTTGTCCATTAACAAAAATAAATAAATAAAATTGAATACTAGATGACAAATTATAAGTAAAATTCTCGAATATCTTCCTTTTATTTTACCTTAGAAACCAATCACGAGTATATTTTTACTAAGGTGTTGACACATTCTTTATGTGGGCCCATCACACAACTGAACAGGTGGGCACAGGTTGATCTTTAAAAAAATCCTAACTGGACGGCCAAGATTGATCAATTATGTAAGTGGGGTCCACCATTCCCTCGCAATTTCTCGAGTAAAAGGCCAAGCCAGTTGAGCATGGACAACCATCAAATCATGAGCCGACGGTCATGATTGGAAGAGACAGATAAACTTTATTGAACCATCACAACTGGGCCCCACTTACTTATCCTAGCGACCACCACGTGGGCGCTTCGACAAAACAGTCGCTTTCTCAGACTTTTCTGTTGAAACACTTTTCTCAATGTAATTCCCCGAATTCGTCTCTTACCGCGTTTCCTTTACGCTCGAAAAATTTATACGGGACATATGGCGCGTTTTATTGACCGGAAATGGATGAGCGTGGGGAAAGCTGTGCTGGCCAATAATTGTGGTTATAAATGGAAGGTTGGCAAGGAAGTGAGCCAAGTTCATTAAACGGTTAAGTCAGCAATCGAAGGAGTGAGTGGCTGGCTTGTTGCGTAAGGGTCGGCTTTCGCAGCTAAATATTATGATGCGCGATTTGGGATGGTAACGGGATGCAATTGCGGGCTAATTTGCTAAATCCTACTCAATTTTCATTAAAAAAATCTATTAAACCAATTATGTTCTTACATTTGAACAAGTTTGTAATTGGTATATTATTCTCATTGCTATTCCGATAGAAAAGTACTAATTTTGATCCGCATACTCCGTTTGCAGGGTGGGACGGGGGTTATATTACTTTTATTATGTAATAAAAAAACTAACCCAATATACCCAAATTAAGTTGATAAATAAGATGGCTCAACATTTATAATGAATATTGATATATTAATGAACACTTCTAGTAAAGTAACAAGGGTCGTAAATATATTAAATGTATATTTTATATATAAAAAAAAAAATTTAAAGGTATATAAATAATCAAGGCGGGTTGGAATGGGTTCATCACTAAATTCGCTCCCACCCCAAACCTGCTTCGAGTTTTTAACTATTTTATCATATTCGCCCCAAATCCATTTAGAGAGCAACCAAATCCACCCTATTGGAGGTTGACGGGACGAAAATTCGCCTAGTGAGTGAACAGTGGTAGCTCAAGCTTTAGACGAATTAGGCAGCCGGCTAAGACCCTACTAATAAAAAGGTCCCAAAATATTATAGTTGTCTTGTATATGATATATTATAATTGTTTTCGTATTGAACATTAATTCTAAAAAATTTATCACCTAAAATAACTCTTCTTTTTTTGTTTTTTTCTCTCCTTATCATCATTCACGCCCTTTTTTTTTTTTTTTTTTTACACCAGCACTATATATACTTAATAGTTTTTCGATAAGTTGCACCACAATAAATATTTACCCGTTATATAGGAAAGTGAATAAACTTTCCATATTCTCTTTTTCTAAATTTTTATTTTATTTATTTATTTAGTTATTTATTCTTATTCCTATTCCTAATCTCACTTTGATTCTAATTTCTCTCAACTCTCAGCAAACTCAACAAGTTACTTACAAGTTACAAGCCATCTCCCGTATCAGTCCTCTCTCATTACAACTTTATATTTCTCTTTTTCTCGACTCAATATTCATTAGTCTCAGATCTCAATTTGAACTCTTTTATTTTATCATGCAGTAGTATTAAATTGAGACTTTCTAAATTAGGTTATATTATTCTTTTTTTATTTTTACCCATATTTTATAATTTGTCTGCTAGAAAGTATGAATCCGGATTTTTTTTAAAAAAAGATAAACTAATTCAATCTCAAAAGTGAGCTATTGATAAATTTGTTACAACTAATAATCAAAACCTAACAAAAAATTTAGGTAAAAGTTCAGCAAATAAATAATCAAATCATCTAAAAAAATTAGAACATTATATAATATTGAAAGAAAAATACTAGTGACTTGATTCACAATTACAATCAAGAATAACAACAAAAAAAAAAAAAATTGAAATAAAGTGAAACAAGTAATCGAAAATCATATTCTAAGACTATTCCCACAAATATATATAATCCTGAACAATGGGAAAATATTGATACAAAAGTAAGAAATTTATTAGTAGAAAATGGTCTAATTAGATTTAACCACACTTGAATATAAGAATTTAATTAGTAAGTTTGCATCTCAAAAGTAAGAAGGATGATTTTTAATTAATTATTATTAATAATTAATATATTGCATATTAGGATATGAAAATGCCACTTTTTATTTTTCACCTAAGGCCCTGAGTTACATCGAGCCGCCCCTGTGAGGGGAAATTACCATCCCAACTCCGGATTCAGTGGTGTGGTACCATCACAAGTGTGAGTGTTCGTGACCTTCCTGAAATTCAAATTTAAATGCCATGGTTCAAGAAATAATGAAATATTATATTTTATTGAATAAATTTAGAGTACATTTGCTTAAATGAAAACAGTAAAAATAATAATAATAATAATAATAATGAAATGAAATGAAATGAAAAGATTTAACTTTTTGTGATTTTGGATATTGGATGAAAAGACTTAGGGGAAAAAAATAGATATTGGATGCAAAGAAAAATCTTTAGAAAACTAGAAATCCCTTAAAAAAAACATTTTTAGCATAAAATACAAGAAACTTCTCGCTTTTCATGTAAAAGTTGTAGCTTTATATTTTAAGTTCCTATTAGACTTATTTTTCTATCAATTGTTTATCTTCTCATTTTTTCTAATATTTAAAATGATAAGGGCAGTTATGGTGTGTACAAAAATTTTTGAGAACTTTCAATTTCATGCAATTCTCAAAACTTTCTTGAAAATTTTTTATGGTAAATAAACACATGTTGGAAAGTTGATTTATTTTCTTTCACTTCACTACTTCTTTTTTTAAACTCACTTTCCACTGTTAATTTCTATATAATCAAATAGACTAGTAGGAATCAAGAGGTGTAATTGTAGGTTTAATGTTCTTTAATGTTTTTAAATTGACAATGCTACATTTTAAAATCTACAATGCAAATTTATATAGTTAAACATCTTTAAATCAATAATACAACAATTACGTAAAAATATTGAATTTTGATTTAATAGCATTACAGAATTACAATGAGTTTGGAAAAGGTACATTATAACTATATCTGATGGTTCACAAACTTCATATCACTTGTATTATTGTGCATACATGTGATGATTGTGGACCCTCAATTTAGTAAGATCTTGAAACACCAGTAATTAATTGGTTAAATTTAAAGTTACATAATTTTTCTTAGCGAGTGTTGCTCTCACGTTATATAAACAATCTTAATTTTGTTTCCGTAACTTAATTTTACTGATTTCACATGAGAATTGCAAGTATCTTGTTCCATTCGGTATCCACCCCACCCCGCTTTGTCTATTAGGTTAAGCCGAGCCAAGCTAAGCTAGATTGAATGATTGGGTGGATGGGACATGAGAGAGAGAAGTGGGAT